AAAAGTTGCTTCTCAAGTTATTTTATCATACGGTCCTTCTGTTTGAAAGTTTGGGGGACATCATAATTTTGCTGTAAATTTAATAATTAGACAATACAACTTGCGGAAAACCTGTTCTTCATTTCATATTTTTATTCCTGATCCGTATTTTTGCAGCATTGTAAAACTCCCCGACTGTTACCTTTAAATGTTAAGGTTTCACTCCCATTTGGATGCATGTGGAAAGAAGTTCCATTGAACTCAGGACTTACTTTCTAGTCAAGGTGAATATTAGGTTATGTTGTACATGCTGCCCTAGCCATAAACAGAAAGCTAAACTGGATAGTCAGATGTCTTTTCAAAATAAACTAATTGTGTTGAATAAATTTGTAGATAGACTTCACAAGCCTTACATTGCTGTTCATAAGAGTAGCACTGATGTGAGATAACTATAAAAGAGAACATTCATAATGGCTTTGTTTTCAGAGGTGCTACAGTATTAGTATTACATTTCTACCTCCTTCTCTTCTTTTTGCAAGGAACCCAAGTTTCTCCTCTTCTTCATTTTAACCTCACAACCACCACCCTGTGAGGTAGGCTGAGAGTCTGTGAGTGCCAAAAGTCACCCAGTGAGATTCATGGCCCGGGGGGAGTAGAACCTGGATATTCTGAGTTGCTTTCCAACACTCCAAGCACTACGCCACTCTGTCTGTCTTAGAGAATTTAGAAGTATTTCTTATGAAACAAAAGTATACTTGTTTTGAAATCTACCTCAGGATAAGGATATAGATACAGCTATATCTCATAGCTATAAGATAGCTGCTGAGCTTAGAACAATTCTATTTGACTGTTCTTTAAATAAATTTTCAGTTTATTGAAGAATTGTAACTTCAATAGAAGGAGTTGGATCAGAGATACGTAGCACTGGGACATATGGGATAATTGAGAATGGCATTCTGTTAATGCCTTTCAGTTTGACAGTATACCTGTTTTTTCCCCTTATATAACCATGTTAATATACCAACAACAGAATACTTGAAGCTTCCACACAGCATAGAAATACTTTTATGTTTTTAAAGTATAGCTCTTCAAAGTACTATAGAACTGTTGCAGTAGTATGCAGGCACTTTCCTCTTCCCTTTGTGTGAAGGAAGGAAAAAAGTTACTGTGTGCAATGCATGGAGATTGTTTGTATCTTAGTTTATTAATTACCTGAGCATAGCCTCTCTCTGTGTGTGTGTGTTTAAAACATTTGTATGCTTAATCTGGGACTTAAAAGGATACCAGTTTTAGTGCCTTTCAGACCTGTCTGACAAGTGCTCCATAAACACACTACCAATGAACAGGCCCTCCCTTGGACTTCACTGCCAGTTTAGAGACAATACTAAGCTAGATGAACAATGAATATGCAAGTATACATAGTACAGCATACATAGTATACAAGTATACATGAACAATGAATATGCAATGAATGCAATATGCTAGATGAACAATGAATATGCAAGTATACATAGTGTGGGATCAGAACATAGGGAGAAAACCTATAACACTAGAACCTGGAGGCATGTGAGTGAAGCTGAATTGTGGGAAATTAGGACAAATAAAAGGAATACTCTCACGTTGAATAGTTAAGCTGTGGAATTCACTTCTGCAAGGTGTAATGATGCTCACGAACTTGAACAGGTTTAGAAAGGGATTAGATAAATGCATGGTGGTTAAGGCTATCAGTGGCTACTAGTCATAATGGCTATATATTAACTTCAGTATCAGAAAGAGTATGCTGGGAACAAGAGTAGGAAAGTCCTATCATGGTCATATGCTGTTTTTGGATTTCCCAAGGGCATCTAGTTTGTCATTGTGGAAAAGAATGACTGCATAGACCTTTGGCCTGATCCAGCAGAACTTCTCTCATTTTCCTAATGGTCTGACCCAATATAAAGTTATAGTCCTAAACATTTTATCATTGTGGAGGGCACTCAGAGGAAACCTTCCAAAGCGGTTCTTAAAATATAAAGCATATTCACCTGGAAGAAGGTGGCCATTTAGGATGGCAGTATGTTCATGTATTTTATTCATATATAAAGCATGGTGAATGTAATTATAAAAGCAAACTATGTATGTGGATGAGTTAAATTAACCCCACCGTACCTCACTTTAATTCAGCTTTGATGCTGGGGTTTTGGACTATAAAGGAAAGTATGATGAGGAGGACAGGAAGGTTCAGCAATTGAGTGGAAAGATAAACATGGCTGACACCATCACTTTAGTTTGCTCAGTAATCAGAGATGGACCAGATTTTTAAAAAAGGTCCAAACATCTTTTGACAGTAAAGTATAAAATTGTTTCAAGTTATACTTTCCCTTTCTCCACTAGTTGATTCCTTTTTGTACTTTTCTCCCCATTGAAACAGAGACCATTGCTTGTTACTACAGTCTGGTGCACATTGCCTTAGTTGCTTCAGCAATATATCTTTCTAATTTTTTGTAACTTTTTGGCAGAGACATCCTGTTACTGATTTAACACCAAAGTGCCGGGGTTAGGTCCAGGAGAGGCAAACACCACAAACAAAACACCTTCATATAAGTTCTGTTTATTGCAGCAATGCAATATAATTCAATTTTTGCCTTTTCATTTACAGAAGGTAGGGAGAGATCAAAATGCTTGAGAAGTAACTGAGGTTTCTAAAGATGGATAGTTAAACTCTGTGGCTCTGTATGTCCCTCACATGATTCCAAAGCAGGGAGCATGAGAAGGCCTATCTACACTTCAGGAGCAGATTTTGGCAGGATGCAAGGATAGCTGTTAAAATGCTGGTTCCTTTTAAAAACAATTTTTTGACAGTACTATACAGGGTTTTTTTTATTTTGGACAGTGGAAAATGTAGGCATGAATGCACATAACCCCTATCAATAAACTGTGGGTAGCTTTGAGAGCTAGCTCTCACACCTTCACTCTTCTGTAAAAAAGAGTGGCTTTCCTTGGAAATTGGAAAAAGTGCAAGGAACCTGTCAAAGAAACAAGTCTAAAAAGCAAATGCTAGGATTCCTTGCTGTGAACAGGGGCGATCAACTAGCCACCCCCTTTTGTGAAGAAAGGTAACTGGTGGCTTTGCTTTCTCTTGGCAGCCCCTCTGGTCAAGAGAAATAGCAGTCAAGAGAAATCAAGGTAAATAAACCATTGTTTCTGGGTCAGTGCCTGTGATGGGTGCCTGTTGCTCTTTGACAACGGAAGGCCTTAGGATATTGTTTAGGTGAGTCTGGTAGACTTGCACAAATGCACATCTGTGCACTTGTGAAAGTCCAGTTAACAAAAAGTACAGAAATTTGTATAAATGTCTTGCACTAAAGTGGGGAGGACAACAAACCACTGAAAGCCCCTCCAAACTTGCACTTGGGCACTTTGAAGGGGCTGGCAGTAGCTGTCAAATCCTATTTGTCATCTCTGGAAAGAAACTGATGGTGAGAAGCCACAGATAGTGCTGGAAGACACAAAGCCAGTGACATTTCCTCCACTGTGCCACTTGGGCATGGGGTGGATAGCACTGGTGATGACTTGGACTAGTTGAGAAGAGCAGTAAGGGGGTGGGGTTCAGATGACACAACAATCCACTGTGGGTTCAGCAACACCTACAACAAACTGTATGTTGATAGGGTGTCTTGCTGTTTGTGAACAAGCCACACTTCAGACAGTGGTCAAGGTTCATATGACATGACAACTCACCATGGATTGTCACCCACAATGGGTTATTGTATTGTGCAAACTCAGTCTGTGACTTTTTACTTGGTACTCCAGAAGCACATCTAATTTTGTTGCAAAATTCTAGTAATTCAGATATGGTCTATGACTTTGAGGAGTGTGGAGTTAAAACAATAGTTGCATCTGTTAAGTTGCATATCCTAATTTATCTAGTAGTTATAGGACTGTCATAGTTTGTTTCTAGGTTTTCACTGTCAGTTAGGGTGCTATCCTAGAAGATTTAGACCGAAAAAGTCCTACAACTCTCAGATGAAGAATACTGGGAATAGGACTTTTTTCTATCTAAACCTGCATAGGACTGTGCCTTTAGTTGGGTTATTTGTGGAAAGACCCCCCCCCCCCCCCATTTCATTGCTTGCGTTTCTGCTTCATAGCTTGCTTACAGGTAGGACGAAGGAAATTTTGCTCAAGTGCTACTGAAATTTTGCAGTTGGGAATTTTGGTAGAGTATTTAGAGTATGAAGTTCAGAGTGGTGATTGGTCACCTGTGCTTGATTGACAGGTTACAGGGAAAAACAAAAACCCATTTGTTCTGGATTAATGGAACTGGAAAACAGAAAATGAGTATCAGGTAAAATCCTTTTAAAAATATTTGCAGTTCGTTAGATGAGTTGCAAGCGGTCAGTTCGACTGTATAAACACCTAATCCATGTAATATATCCCATTGTAGTGGGAAATGTTGGGCAAATACAAAGCATACAGAATTCCATTACACTCAGTCAGAAAAACCAAGAATGATTAGTAACTGGAATCTGTATATGGTTTTGACCTTGTGTGCGAAGAGGCCACAGAAAACTGTTTTGCTGTCATGTGATGGAATTTTTTTCTTTACAGTTTCTTTTTAATTTTCACTTTAAATTCAGTATCCTGATTATAAACATGTTTAGCATACGCAAGTTCAGTGAGACTTGTTTCTTAGCAGTGTATTTTTTCTTGTCACAGCTTAACATGTATATTGGACATACAGTGAAGGAAATGATATTCTTCCTTAGAAAAGACACGTTCTTCCTTAAAGTTAACTTAAAGACTTAAACATAAATCAGTTTGAATAACCATATGCTTTTCCTTAAAATGCTAAGACATAGAAAATCTAATATTAATTAAATAATGGTTTACCGGGCTTACAAGTAACCCCCCCATGACATGTTGAATGTAGTTTGCATCTAACAGCATTATTATTTTAATAGGTTTCTAATGGACGTCTGTTTAAAAGTGGTATGACAGTTTTCTAGATGTCTGTTAATTTGTGTGTTGCTGTATTTCAGATTGAAGGACAAGGACATGGGGCAGTATTTGACTGCAAATGCTCTCCTGATGGCCAGCATTTTGCATGTACAGATTCTCATGGTCATCTTCTGATCTTTGGCTTTGGCTCAAGTAGCAAATACGACAAGGTAGTATAAAGAAACAAGTATTGAATTTGTTTAACTTGTAGCTTCTGTACAAGAGTGATGAACTACATCCAACTAATGGATCAAATGGCCTTTCAGCATGACTGAAGTTTATATCCAAATACCGCTCTATTTACCTTCTAGCATTATTTTTTCCTCTTTGCACTTAAAAGAGCACAAGTATGGTTCTGTAGCTCTTGGTTGCTTTATGGCTTTCCTGAAATTGCCACTTAGAATATTTAAGGGTAAATACTAGTATGATATAGCCGTTAAAATTGAATTTACCTCTGTAACTTGTGATGGAAACGAATTAATGCAAATATTCCTACTGAATCTAAGCTTCTCAAAGCTATTTTGGCTTAATATCATTTGATTGGATTTAATCTTGATTTTAGAGATACACTGGCAGTCCAGCAGTTTTCTTTTGAAGTTGGTTTCAGTGCTTCAGGTGGTGGGGTGATCTTTATGTCCACCAAGAGGAAGGTGCTTTGAGAAAAGACTGGGAAGCAGCTCCTGCTTCTGCTTTAGGGGAACCTTTGTAAGGATTGGTGTTCATTGTCTAGTCATCTAGTAGCACTGAATAACTAAATTTAAAATGCAGCTGAAACTACTTTTGGCAATGGAGTGCTACAGAGTGTGATGGAGCTCTGAGTTCAGGCAGTGTTCTCCACTGTAATTTGTCTGGTGCCTACCTTATCTTGAGGAATGTCATTAAAATTTTTTTTAGAAAGCTCTGCAATCCTGGTTTTTTTTAAACACCATAGTTCTCAGAATGGGTTGCACCTCTAAATACTTTCTAAAACTTTGATAATTTTTCTTAAAAACCCTATACCTGGTTCTCTTCCAATGTTTTGTGTTATAATGCCCATATTCCCTGACCATTAGCCATACTGGCTTGTGTTTATAGTACAAACAATTAGGGGGTACAAGTTACATGTCTCAGCTTTGAACAATGGGTGATAGAGGATCTAAGATGAATTTTGTTCATCCTGCCCAATTTGATGCATTCCAGATGTTTTGAAGTTTTACTCCCATCACCCCCAGCATGCAGGATTCCAGTGGCTCAGAATCCTGGGGGCTATACTTCAAAAATCTGGAAGGCACAGGGTTTCAGAAAGATGTTTTGATGGCAACCTAGTTATCAAAAGAAATTACAGAAAAGTTGGAGATCCAGCTTTAAGAGGGTTATGAAGGGAAAAAAACCTTGCCTTTAGTACCAGAAATTCCCACCAGACAGCTGTACTCACTGTCAGAATGACTTTTGCTTCAGTTTTTGCTAGAGTTCCCTTATTGTGTCTGGAAGACCCTAAGCAATTTCAAGACCCTAAGCAAGACAAAACTAAGAATGTATAACACTTTAAAACTACATTTAATTTTCTCCCCATCTCATGCCTAGTTCTGATGGAAACCAGGGCATCTGAAGAGAACCAATCCCATGTGCTTTTTCTCTCATCAGAATTGGGCTTCTGCCAGCCTGCCAAACAGCTGCTCGTATACCAGGAGTTTGGAAAATGGAAAATGTAACACCAATTTTTAGAAAGGGATCTGGGGGGATCCAGAAAATTACAGGCCAGTTAGCTTGCCATCTGTTCTGGGTAAACTGCTTGAAAGCATCATTAAAAATAGAATCAGTAGACTTATAGAGGGACAATCCATGATGAGAAAAAGTCAGCGTCATTTCCATAAGGAGAAGTCTTGTCTCACAAACCTATTACAGGTTTTTGAGAAAGTCAACTAGCAGGTTGACATGGGTGGTAATGGTAATTGGTAATTTCTCCCAAAGGAGAGATGACTCCAGTGTTGTCCTTGGGGGGGGGGGGGTCTGTATTAGGACCAATTCTTTTCAACCTATTCATAAATGATTTAAAATTAAGAGTGAGTAGGGAAGTGGCCAAGTTTGCTGATGACACTAAACTATTTAGAATGGTCAAAACAATAAGAGATTATGAGGTACTCCAAAGGAATCTCATCAAGCTGGTGGAATGGACACCTAAATGGCAAATGCAGTTCAGTATAAGTAAGTGTAAATTAATGCATGTTGGGGCAAAAAATTCCAATTATAAGCACAAGCTGATGGGGTTGGAACTAGCAGTGACAAAGTAAGAAAGGGATCTTAGAGTGGTAGTGGACAGCTGGATGAAAATTTTGGCCCAGTGTGTAGCCACTGTACAAAAGGCAAATGATGGATAATTAGGAATGGAATAGAAAACAGGACTGCCAAGATATCACCCCCACACCCATACAAATCCTTGTTATGACCACAGAGTATTTGGACATCCACATGATAGGTAGTTCATGAGCGGAGCCGGGGGTCAAGACTAGAAGGTCCTGGAGCCCCCTTCTGACTAGCTCTGTTTCCGTGTTTCTTTTCGTTCAGTTCTATTTGTCCCACCTGAATAAGGGCAGTATTGAATTGGAAAAAAATACAAGAAAGGGCAATGACAATGATCAAGGGGCTGGAGCATCTCCCCTGTGAGGAGCAGCTGCAGAAACTGGGAATGTTCAGCTTAGAAAAAGGCGGGTAAGGAGATATAGGATAGAAGTTCTTAAAATTATGCATGATGTGGAGAAAATGGAGAGCAAGACTCTTCCTCTCCCTCAATGCTCAAACCCAGGGTCATCCTGTGAAGCTGTCTGAGGTTGGGGAAGGTTTAGGACTGACAAGAGAAAGTTCTTCACGCAGTGCATTTTAAAATCATGAAATGCACTGCCACAAGGAAGTAGTGATGGCCACAGATCTAGAAGGCTTCAAAAAGTGATTGGACAGGTCAATGGAAGTAGAGAATATTGGTGGATACTAGCATCACTGGCAATGTGTTACCTTCTTTAAAAGGGGTGACATGCCTGCACACACCAGCTGATGATAGGCTTGGGCAGGTGAAGGTCTTGCTTGAGCTGGTTTCCACCATCTATATGGAATGCTGGACTAGACAGACATTTAGTCTGATCCAGTGTGGCTTTTCTGTGTTTCTGTGCTGCTGCTGTTTTACTGCCTAACAGGCTGCAGTGGGATGACTCTCCTTGTGTGTTCTATGTGATGGCAAGAGCGATGGCACAGAGAGAATTAGGGAGGCCGTGGCACTTATAGAGGAGAACACTGGTGGCCCCTGTGGGTTGCCCACCCCTGCTTATAGTATTCTAACTGCATGAGATTTTTTCTGTTAAAAACTGGACCATGAAACAGAACTAAGGAAGAACCAAGAGGGGAGAAAATAGTAAAACATTCTATAGCACGTAATTCCTACCTTCTCAGTGGTAGGAGACATTATCTGCCTTGGATGTTTTTGTTTGCCAAATATGGTGGAATCTTCACATTGTTTACTAGCAATCCATTTAATATATGCACTAAACAACATGTACAGAGACACCCCCCATTATGTTATTTCAATAGAGATATTATTTTTATATTGGAGGTAATTCTTGTAAATGCAAAGTTGTATGCTTTTCTGTACAATGTCCCTGTACCTACAGGGCTTTTAAGAATGGCCTACATTTTGTACCTGAAAAGCAAAAGTTCATGTATATTCACAATATTTTTTGGAATGTGTGCTTGAAGCAAATAAAGGGCAACTGCTACATAGATGATATTTTTAAATATTAGATCAATCTCAGAATAATTAATGTGCTGCTTCTTTGCCACCATTGATTGGGAAATTAGATCTCTGCATAAGTAATCCATCTAAGAAAACTTCCTTGTTCATGGTCTTTAACCATCCTGATTGTGTGAACATTATGCAAAAACATTGGGATGCTAATGTGAGATGTTGCGATGCTAGCCCTGCTTTAAGTGATACTGAAAACTTAAAGAATTGCTAGTACATTATAGCTTACTTTAGATATTAGATGTTATAGGTTACCAGAAGTTTTAGATACCATGTCATTCCTTTTCAGTAAACTGTGTTTTGCTTGCTGAAAAAAATCTACATAGTAATCATAATTGAAAACTCACCCAAATCCAACATTTTTGCTGTTTCAAGCAAAAATGGATTTATAAATATAGCAAATGCAATATTATTATTACTACATTTTTGTACTGGTCAGTAACAAAGTTCTCTGGGTAGGTCACAACAATTCAAACAAATTCAAACATGATAAATCATAACAGAAAAGTTTGAAACTATAGTATAAAACTAAAAGGACAAATACCAACCAAAATTGAACAGAGCAGTGAAAAAAAATTGAAATATGGTAATAGATTTAAAGGAGAGAGAGGGAGATACTATTTTGTACCTGTTAAGCAGTGAACAGTACAGTATCTGAATCTAATGGAGGGCATTACTCAGCTAATTCTTGACATTGGTGTATCAGAAAAACCATAGTATAAACCATTGCACATCTAGGCTGAACAGAGAATATTATTTTTTGGTTGCCTTTCCAACCTGGCAAACAAGAACAATACAAAAGTGTCCTGGAAGAAATAACTTCCACAATATACAACTGTATTTTTGTGAAACTGCTTTTGAATACAAGTCTATGGTGCTTCTTATGCAATACAGGTTTTATCTGTCATTTTAAAATTAACCTTATTTTACAGATAGCAGATCAGATGTTCTTTCACAGTGATTATCGGCCTCTCATTCGTGATGCAAACAATTTTGTGTTGGATGAGCAGACTCAACAGGCACCACACCTCATGCCCCCACCATTTTTGGTTGATGTTGATGGTAATCCTCATCCATCAAGATACCAGCGATTAGTCCCAGGACGTGAAAACTGTAGAGAGGAGCAACTTATTCCTCAGATGGGGGTAACGTCCTCAGGTATTCAAAACATCCAGCTTGAGACTTTATTAATGATTTTCTTGAGTGTGCATTATTTAACAGGATTTTGAAGAGGGCTGTCATAGCACCTTTCCTAAATCACAGTTCTCAGCAGTGGGGCATGTGAGAGGAGAGAGTGGGGCATGTGATTAGAACAGAACCAATATCTTTTGGATAAAAGAAAGTGTGGTGCCACTGGTAAGGCTTCTATACTTGTGGCTCTATCAGCCAAGTAGTTGGAAGACAAATGAGTAAGCAGTGATCTAACTTAAGCTGCTTTCCAGCTGCTTTTTGGCTAACAAAATTCTCTTAATAAATATATCCTCAATCATTGGTAAGATTAATGAAGGTGGCATTTCCAAAATGTGTTCAGTTGCAATTGTAAATGTGTAAGGAAGTAATTGATCCATCCAATCTATAACTTATTCAGGAATAAACATTTTTACATTTGGACCTAGAAATAAATTATTTATACAAATAAATGCATTTTAATCTGGTAAACTAAATTCAGATTATACTTTTCACAGGACTAAACCAGGTTTTGAGTCAACAGGTTAGCCCTCTGGACAGCATGATACAAAGACTTCAACAAGAGCAGGATCAGAGGCGGTCTGGAGAAGCTGCAACCAGCAATACCAGCAGAATTGGCAGGGGTAAAGAAAAATCCATTAGTTGATTTAAACAGCTGAATAAGCAAAATCTCTTTGGAATGCATTAAATATACTACATTCATAGAAAGAAGGCATAATAAAAACAAACTGTCTTTAATCATTTTCTGACATTAATGTGTCTGTGTGTGTGTGTTTGCCAGTTACAACAACTAACGGGAAAGAATTGCATAAAACACTTACTTTAAAATTGCAAATTAGTTATTTGAATATAGTGCTTGTATTGACCGAGTTAACATGTAGCAAAAAACCACCAGTTTGAAAACCAGTGGGTCATCATTCGTAAGTGGGCCTGAACTACTTGTAGTTGCCTAAGGTCATAGAAGCTGTAGAGAGAGGTTCCAGCTTTTGCACATTAGTTTGCACAGTTAGATTCATCCAGTTTTGAAGAAAAGGCTGAAGGGCAAGATAAGTTAGCAATTTCAAGATTATATGATGAAAATGTTCAGGCAGAGCAAGAGAACCAGAAAGAGGGAGACATTTCAGAGCTATGGTGGGTGGGGACAGAAAAATTATTGACCTAGGCAGGAAAAAACAAGTGAAACAAATAGGTCTCCATCATCCAGTCTCCATCATTCCTGCCATCTAGCCTTCAAGCAGCGGCAGCCACCCTGAAAGTAAAGTCAGAAGCTTTCCTGAAAGGGAGGGAAGAAGTTTCAGTTTGAATTCAATTCTTTACGTGGGCAGAGGCTTCTTCCACTTCTATACTGCCACCCATTGTGCCTTAATAAAAGGACAGTGCTTCTAAAGTTTCATCTGGGCCTGTGGGAGAGGTCTAATGCAGATTGCCAGCCATCTAACTATGAACAATATGGTCTTCAGTTTCTTTGAGAAATTTATCTCCAGAGTAGTACAAAACTTAAAGCTATGTGTAATAAGACTGGCTTCAATTCTGAATTGTCCATGCATGAAGAGAAAGGACTTTTTTCCATTAATGAAGAAGAAGGTGATCTTCCATAGTTCCCTCTGCAATCCTGAACATCATCACCCATGTTCTAAAAGGTTCCCCAGTGCTAGGAAAGAGATTCTCAAGGAGTGAGGTTAGAATAGCGAATGTGTAAATCCTGTGTCCTTTTCCCACTGTCAGTGGGACCATCTCATGAGTGCCGTTTGTCCACAGAAAGTTAGAAGCCATTATATACTCTCATTTTTCAACACAGCATTGGAAGACACTAACTGATATTTTTTATTTCATAGGCTCTGTAAACTCTACCTCAGAGGTGCATTCACCACCAAATGTGGGATTGAGGCGCAGTGGACAAATTGAGGGAGTGCGACAGATGCATAGCAATGCACCAAGAAGTGAAATTGCTACTGAACGAGACTTGGTGGCATGGAGTCGAAGAGTTGTGGTGCCAGAGTTGTCAACAGGAGTATCCAGGTAAGTACAAGGCTTTTGATACCAAGTCACAGTAGGTGTACATTGTTAAGCTTACAATTAACTTTGGGAGGGTTTTTTTTTAAACCTTCATAGCCTGTTCTTGGGCTATGCTTTCTATGAGGTACAGTTTCATTTTTGTGGTAATAGTTTCTTAGAGAACACTTACCAACCACATCTGTCTTGAAATATATGCAGTTCATGGTTCTGAGTATGTATCTTGTATCTTGTTCTGAGTATTATCTTTCACTATTGCTGTACAAGGTTGCAAAAAAGAAGTCTTCAACCATACTTTTAAAAAGTCCATATTTATCCATAATGGAGATGAAATAAGCATTTGCTTTTTATAAAATGAGTTAATTCTGTTCACTAAAAAATTTGGAGGCTGAGACTCCACTTGTGGAAATAAGCATAGGCTTTTACTGTTAGCATACACTGCAATTTTAATATCCTGTTTTAACACTTTAGAAGAAGCCATAGCAGTTGTTAGAATATTTCTTGGAAAAAGTTATATCAATATCAGTAAAACAGATTGGAGTGGGTGGGCAAGTGGCCCCTGCCTGTACAAATCATTATGGAGCTTGTATTTCACTTACTAAGGAATATATTGTGAAATAAGTTAGCATTAATATCTACATTTCTGTTCTGCAGTAGACAAGAAGAATGGCGAACAGCAAAGGGAGAGGAAGAAATAAAGATATACAGGTCAGAAGAGAAGAGAAAACACATCGCAAATCATGTTCCAAGAGAGAATAAAATACCTTCTTTGCCTAAGGTAGGCAGTCCACTGTTGCTTCTCTTGCACATAAAGTCTGCAAGCCTAAGCAGGAAGCCAACATGATTACAATTATTGCTGGTTAGACTTGATTAATATTAGGCTAGAAGTCAGTTTATAAGATAATAGCAGCCAAGTCAGTATACTTGTATCATTTACTGTGTTGCTTTATATTTTAAGTGAAAATTGCTTTGGTAGATAAAGTTTCTCTGTATTTGCATATGCATTGTATATTAGAACATGACCAAATGTGTTTATTGGAAACTTTCTGAAAAGCCTTACCAACCCTGACTTTAAGCTTTAAGGGGAAAAAATAAAGGTATTAGAGTTTCTCCTATGATCTCCTTGCATGTAACTCATAATAGTAATTTTCTACTTCTTATTCAGCATCTGAGAGTTGCTTATTGCTTACATGTAAACTTTCTCATATGTTACCTTTTAAAATGCTCAATGTAGTGAAATAAAACATGTAAAATCTGCTTTTTTAATATGCATGTTTATGCATAGTGAGACAGTAAACTGGGTCTGAATGTACAATCAGGTGATATGTAATTCTTGAGGATTAATTTGTACAGGGTGAAAGTCACTTGCATGAGTCATAATGCTTAAAACTATTGTGTGAGTTTTGTTGAACTGTTAGGCATTCAAATTGTCCCTATCACATATAAATATTAAGATGATCAACATCCATAAAGTTAGGAAATGGCACAGCACTTCTTGCTTCTGAATGCCCTTTTCCTGCTTACAGTCCCATGTTAGCGCCTTGGCTGTCTGAGGAATTGGTAGCAGTGAAATGGCAGAGACAATAGGAATGGTGAAAGTATTGTGCTGTATCCAATCAAACTTAAGCTAAAGCTCATCTTAGAGACTGTTATGTGGCAATAATAATGCAACCTCATCTATTGAATTTGCTAGTGGAGGTATTCTAAGCAGTCAGAGGTCTTTATATCTTGGCCTTCAGGGTGTGGGGAAAGACTTCTGAGTAGCCGGTAACCAATTTGCTAGTGTCATTATGGTAACTCATGGTTTACTAAAATTATGGTTTGTTGCAGGGTTTATTTATCAAATGATCAGACCAGGCTTGTTTGTTTTCTCAGTTTCTGGGTGGGTTATTCTCTGGGCATAATACATATTTGTTTATTAAATTTATAGACCATGCCTGTACCGCTGTTAGGGCTCTCTGAGCAGTGTACATTTCAATAAAACCAACAATAAAATAAATACCTCCATAAAGATTCTACAATACAGCAGAGTATAGCAGCTTAAAACTTCAATTTCAAATTTCCAAAACTGTATTTAAACAATTTTAAATACATGGAAAATAAAACAGTATTTTCCTGGCACCAAAGCACTAATACTGAAGGTGCCAGGCAGGTTTCTTTGAGGAGCCTATTCCAGAGGTGAGGCACAACCACCAAGAAGGCCGTCCTATTTACTCCTCCCCCTCACCTCTTTGGGGATGGTTCTATGAGAAGGGCCTCTGGCTCAGATAGACACAAAGCCCTGGCCATATGGAGGCAGGACCTGTCACTGAGAAACTTCTAGAGCTAAGAGCTTCATTGGGTGGCAGCCCTGCCCTTCCTGTTCCAGGTTACTTAGGAAGGGCTCCCACCCATTTCCTCAGTTCCTTTTCAACTGCTATTGTACCTAGACTGGGAAGTTCTCTCCTCTCACCTGAGTATTTAGCATTCTCTTTCTCATTTTTCTTTTTTCTTTCCCTTCCTCCATGGCCTCTTTTTCATGAATCCACTCTTCAGTCTTTACTTAAACAAAACAAAAAATCAAAAATGTAATTTTCTACCCTCTTTCTGTCTCTGCTGTTCATGTTCGTTACTGAGTTGGGTCTTGCCTTTTCCGCCTCCCCATCCACTCTGATGGGATTCTTGAGAGCATTCCGGAGCTCTGTGCTGTGACAGCAAGCTCCGTTCTTCAGATGGCTACTACCTCTGCTTCCTTTGCCAGGACAAGGGACTTAGTGGAAGCCTTTCACTAAACAGACCAGGCGACACTGGGCCCATCACATGAAGGCCGAACTTTTAAAGGCCTTCCAGGTTGCTCATTTAAAGAGGCACATGGGGCAGGTCTGCCCATTTTCTTTCCCCCAACCAGGCCACTTGTCTAGCGACCACACAGCCAGGAAAGTTTCTAAGCAGCCCAAAAAGATGGATGCTGCCAGCACCTCCAAGGGAGAAAAGAGACAAACATTCCTGTCGAGCTTCAGCTTTGAGGATCTGCAGTTTCACCTTCTAAGTGGTTGCTGTCCCTGAGACTGAGCACATTTGTGCTGTGGCAGCATTAGAAGGGGAACCTAGAGACAGTTCTATCAGGTCCCTGTCCTGACCATCATCCCAAACATTGGCATCAAGGTTCTTGGCATGCTCTCGGGGGCCAACACCACCTTCTGAGACTGGCTAGACATCAAGGCATTCTGTCTACAACTTCCCAGGACTACTTGGCACTACTGCCCTCAGAGACCAGCTTGACACCAGGGCATCTCACCCATGCCTCACCGGGAGTGACACCTCAGCCACACTAGCCAAGATGGCCAACAATCTCAACATGCAATCAACCACCATGGCCCACCAGATACAAAAACGTCTTGACCTTACAGCAGTTACAGTAGCAGGGTCCCCTTTGCAAGACTATGGATGAGGCTCCTACAACTATGGTTTGTCAAATACATTCCACATGGCAGACAATCCCCATGGCAAGCACCTAAACATTCCTTCATCCATCTGCAGCAGCCTCCACTGGTGGACCCTTCCTTACAACCATGCTACCATGCTTCTCCCCCACAGAACCATCAGTCACTGTCACTACAGACACATCCCTGTCATGGTGAGGAGCCAATGCAATGATCTCCAAACCCAAAGAAATTGGAACCACCACGAAGCCTGCAAGCACATCAGTTTCCTGGAGATGCTAACTGTCCACAAAGCCCTGATCACCTTCCAGTCGCCCCTTTGTAGCCAACATGTCCAGATAGCCATGGACAACACAATCATGGTATTATACTTAACAAACTGGGTGGCACATGATCAATCCCATTGACAACGCTGGCTTTCAGGATCTGGGATTGGTCCATTGACAGGCCATAACCCTCATGACCATCCACGTGGTGGGCATGAGCAACATTCTTAGTCACATGAGCTTCAACTCACACAAATGACTGAGTGCAGAGACACTCTGTAATTGTGGCTGAGAAAACTGTCTCCTCAGACTATGCTGCAGAATGTTAACCTTCTCCCCATGCACCCCAGACCTGATTACACAGGACCAGGGCCAAATTCTTCACCCAGACATAGAGACCATGCACCCCCTCCACCACAGTTGCTACAATAGATACCCTTCCTCAGAATGGAAGAACCATCCTCAGCATAGCCCTTAAGCCATCCATGAGGAAATGCCTTCATGCATTAGGAGAATGTCAACTCACTGGAATCCATTGGTGAGCATATCTTTCACTTCTTCCAGGGCTGGAACCTGCCTCTATCTAGGTGTACCTGGCAGCAATCTTATTCTTCCACCTTCCACTGAAAGGGTTCCCAGTCTTCTCACACCTGCTGTCCTGCCAGTTCCTGAGGGGTGTCCAAAACTCCCCCCCTCCCACAACTGCCCGTGCATGCCACCCAGGAGCTTCTCATGCTACATGCTCTAACTCAGGAGCTCTTTGAGCCACTCGCTATAGTTAGCCTCCGCCTCTTCTGGAAGGTAGATCTCATGGCCATCACATCAACAAGGTGTGTTAGCGAGCTATGCACCCTCAAGTAGAACCTCTCTACCTCACTTTTCATAGAAGCAAGGCAGTGTTCAAGCCAGATCTGGTCTTCCTTCCAAAGGTCATCTCAGCATTCCAGTTCAACCAGGAAATCATTTTTCCAGTGTCATTTGCTGTTCCCACCAACTCAGTAGTGTCCACCCTATACTCACTGGACATCTGGAGGGCTCTCATCCTCTAATGCTCCAGAACAGAGTCTTTTTGCCACCATCCAAGACTCTTCATCTGCTATGGCAGAAGAAGCAAGGGGAACCTGGTCTCCACTCAGATTGTCAAGATGGATCATAAGAATCATCTCTTTGGCTTACCGTATAGACAGCATTAGAATCTCAGTTCTGCAAGGGGCTCACCCCACCCAAGCAGTGACCATACTGACAGCCCTCCTAACAGGATCTCCCTGCAGGAAATCTGTAGAGCGGCTGCACAGTCCATGCCCTTGCCATTTGCCAAACTCTACAGGCTGCATGTCCAGGCATTAACAGACTGTTCCTTCAGCAGAGCAGTCCTTTCCAATGTCCTTTGATGATGACACCACCCTTCCATCCTGTGTGATGCACAGAGACAATGAAGAAGAAAGCCGGTTTCTTACAAGCAGCTGTTGTTCTTCAAGTGGTCATCTGTGCATTCACACAACCCACCCACCAACTCCACCTGGTGTTATCCCTTGATGAGCATGATCTTTTTTGCCAGGAGACTGCAGGACCAGACCGGTTTGGCACAATAACTCCTCCCTCATTCCTGGGACCTGTGGTGGCTTCAGTGAAACTGAGGGAGTGGTGGGAGCCCCTCCCAGATAACCTGGAACAGGAAGAGGTAGGGCTCCCATCCAATTGAACACTTAGCTATAGAAGCTTCCTAACAACAGCTCCACACATGCTCAGCGCTCCCTCCCCCCAGTGTGAATGCACAGAGAACTACTCAAATAATGACAGTTACAGGTAAGCAACCTGACTTTTTCCCCCTCCTCCACCAGTTCTGTGCCTGTATTCCAATTGCGTTTGTGGCACTGCAGTACTGGCATGTAAAGAGGTTGGGCTGTTTTACTGGCTCTTGCCTGTTGCCTCCTTAGCCTGGAGAAATGACCCACAAACAACACATGATTTGGGGTTAACAGCTCATGGTTTAAACAACCTACAGTTCATGAACCCACAGCAACAAACCATGGACTCTCTTAGTAGGTTTTTCTGCTTAACAACCCTAACTATGGGGTTCTTCGTCGTGGCCTCTGTGCATCACACATATGGGTTGCTGCGCCTGCGCAGTGCCTAGGCTGGAAGATTAGAAAGCTAACGGTTTTTGGCGGGAAAATTCCGCTCCCCTCCCCCTTTGTGGTATAAATAGAGCAGAGTGTCCGCCATTTTGCTCAGTCTTTGCGACCGCCGTTCGCTGTGCCTCGTGCCTGTTCGTCTCTCGCTATAGATCTGTGCCTCTTCGTTAGCTTTGCATGTATTCAGGAGAATTCATCAGACCATGGTTAATACATTCAGGATTTGCCTCTATGTGTGAACCAGGTCATTTCAGGATAAAGTAGCATTATCCGCAAATATGGTAAAGTTACTTCAAGTGCAGCGTAAGGATGCGGAGAAGGTTCTTGGGATGAGGAAACTGACCACTGAGGCAGCTCTTGAAGACTGTTCAGAACCTGCAACTTGGACAGAATGTGGCAGCCTGACTGGTAACCAGGACAAGAAAGACTGAGCCCATGACATCATTTTTGATCGGCTTTCACTGGCTGCCTATAAACTTCTGAGCCAAAGTGCTTGTTTTAACCTGTAAAGCCATTCATGGCTTTGGGACCGCAGTTTTTGACAGAATGCTTCTCCCAACCACACTCTCCCTGACATAGCGCTCAATGTTTGAAGCTTTTCACCTCTGAGGAAGACAGCATTGGTGGCAACAAGGAGGAGGGCTTTCCCTGTCATAGCCCCCAAATTATAGAATGTTTTCCCCACTGAGGCTCTCATGGTGCCAACTTTACTGTCCTTACAGCATCAGGCAAAAACTACACCCTATGCCATTTAAGAGCTTTAAATAGCATGGGAGGGTGATACTGTCTGCTTTTTTTAACTGATCAAGCTGTCTTAGTTGTTAAAAATATTCAAATCTTTAGAGAACTGTTAAAATGTTTTTACTTTTATTTGTATTTTATGTTCTGTTTTATCAATTGTTGCATACCATCCGCAGCCCTTTGGCTGTTGGGCAGTATAAAAGTAGTAGTAGTAGTAGTAGAAGAATCTGAGACCTGAGCTTCACTTTTGATAGTTTTCTACCATCGTCTGTATTGTTACATAAATTCAATATGTGTTTAGTAAAAACATGATTGTTCATTGAATTCAGTTTGTTGCAGGTTCTGTAGTTTAGATTACACCCTAGAATATTTATATGGTTTTCAATCTGCATGTTATGATCATGTCTCCGAAAGTAAACATAAAACTATGATTTCATATGTACTTTCTCAAAATGGCATTTTTGTCTTCATAGAATCATTCTCATGATCATCATATATTAGATGTTGCTGATTCAAGGAAACAACAGGCCAACCAACACAACTACCGTACTAGATATGCATTGGAAGAAACTGCCAGGCCCAATGAAGATATGGAAAATGGAAGTAGTTCTTCAGATGTAAGAAATTACATTGTATTTCATCCTAAAGTAGGCTATGCCAAACTTCTCACGGTTCCCCTATGTCTGCTGATAACTTCCTGCTCTGTGTATGTGTGCCACTTTGGCTAGATAAGGACTGCTCACAGAATGAGTTCATTATTGGTATAGGAATGTGTGGTCCATAAGGTGTTGTTGGACTTCACTTCCCATCATTTTTCATCACTGGTTTCACTGGCTAGGACTGATGGAAATTACAGTAGAGCAAAATACAGTAGAGGACCACACATTCCCTACCACTGGTTTATAGGCTGATCAGTTAATATTCTGTAGCTGTTTATGTAAATAGAATTGATTACTCTTGAGTAATCAAGCTGCCGCATATGTGAAGAACCATGGCCATATCTAAAGTAGAATTTTCTTATGAGAAATTACATTTCAATTACATTTCAATATGTCCTGAACGGTACAACCACGGACCTGAACTAGACTTCAGAATTTGTAGCAGGTGTTCAAGTGAATGAGTAAACCAGCTAATCAAGCTAGGACGAGTACTCCTCACTCCTGTTTTATTTGACTTCCATTTTCTGAGAGTAAAGGAGCATTATCTATTGCTGCTATTTCTTAGTCCCAAGAAATTTTACTTCCATCTTGGCTAAGCCGATAACTCAGTGGAGACATTGAATGTTACTGCTGTATTTGCAGGAGCTTGGAGAGACAGTGGATAAATGCTTTTAGATCTTTGCAGACACATAAGGGAATCTGTTTATCTGTTACTTCTGTGGATTTTTAGCAAAATGTCTGTGTGATAATTAGTAACATTTAAGTGTTGGGCTTGAAGTTTTTTTTATTCTAGTGAAGCAGACACATGGAACGCCTCAGTTCTTAATTTTATATAAAGCTTTGTTCTATTAAAAAGGTGAGAAATACAAAAATAAACTATAGTCAAATAAGAAGAAATGTAGTAGGAATGGGCAAATCTATCAAGTTCAGCTTTGCTCAGGTTTTCAGCTTTCCAGAGCTTAGTTTATTCCATCTCAATTCCAAGCACAATTTATTATTTTTTGTCTACACAAAAATGAGTACACCCTTTTAGGAGCATTTTACCAGATGCATGTCTTTGTCTTCACTGCTGCAATTGATTATCTGTTGAAAATAGATTATCTGCAATTGATTATCTGTTCCATATAACATTTTACTAGACTACATTTCTTGCCTCAGAAGTGTACAGATTTTGCTGGCAAACTGAGTTCTAGATCATGTTTAGATTTGGGAAATACAAATAGAGTAAATGAAATGTATGGATAGGTGGCATTAAGTTCTTTTAGATGCTGCTATTACTTGGAAGCCAAGTTTAGTAAAAAAAAAAAATTGTCTTTCTCTTAGGAGGGAGAAGTAGTTGTTGCTAGTGGTGGAACATCTGAAAATGAGGGAAAAGTATGGCACAGTGATGGCAGTTCTAGGTAAGTGAACAAAAGGGGTCCTCTGTGGTATATCACAAACTACTTTTTACATTTCTCTCTTTTAAGATGGCTTATCATTTGGCACAAACAGCTTGCTGTTTTGGGGGTGGGAAGAAACATAATTCAAGCCCCCCTTGGGCATGCAGAACTAATAGTATTTGTGACACTAACCGATATAGAAGTAGAAAAAATAGAAGTATTCATTGCAACAGCTGATGAAAACTAAATAATTGCATAACACTTATTTAGAAAACATGCTACCTATTTCTAGTCACCTATTTTTATATGTAGGATTTGATGGTTTTATACGAATGGTCCATTTTTCAGTGGCATTCACTTTTTAATTCATTCTAATTTCAGTAAAGTTGAGATTGAGCATCACTTAAATCATGGCATGGTTAACTAAATTTTCAGTTCTAGCTAGAAAATTATATTATTTTCTGTGATGGGTATTAAACTTGTACTGACCTATTTTTTCTGATTTTTCCTAGTGACTATTCTAGTGATTATTCTGACTGGACAGCAGATGCTGGAATTAACCTGCAGCCACCAAAGAAAATTCCTAAAATTAAGACTAAAAAAGTAGAAAGCAGCTCAGAAGATGAAGAGGGTCCTGAAAAACTCAGGCAAAAGCAGATCAGAAAGGAAAGAAGAAAAGGTATTGAAGATAAAGATGGTCCAACATCACCAAAGAAAAGGAAACCCAAAGAGAGAAAACAGAAGGTTGTATTATGGTTGTAGAATATAAGCTAATGTTTTAAAAATAATACTTCTTACCAGTCCATATTTTCATGTATCAGTTGCTTTTTTTACTTGATTGGTGTGCTGGATCCTGACATCTTTTCTAGGACATCTGTTGTTGCAGGAAATATTTAAATTTCCTCAGTGTTCTAATGGTAACATACTGTCCTTATTCACATGTAGCATACTTTGGTGTGGTTTTTTGTTTTATTAGGAATATCTGCATCCTGCCTTGCTAACAGAAAATTGCTCAGGCTGTTTTAGTTTTATACACACTGGCACCATGAAATTCCCTCTTCCTTCATTCACTGTGGCTTCAACAAGGACATCAGAAGCTTTTGCTTTCACTTTCAAGTAATTGCAGCTACATATTTCCAAACCTAGGCAAACTATTATTAACAATAGTTTAAGGAAAGAAACCAACTTCAAACTATGGTTTGCAATTTTGGCTTGTTTCCCTTAATAATTTCATGAAGAATGTCCAGCCTGTGGACCAAATACCAAAATATTTTTCAAGGTTGATTGCTTTTGTGTAGAATAGCAAGAAGTCTTTTTACCCCCCCCCCTGCAAAAAAGATTCAAAATTTTGTAATATATTCTCTCTCTCTCTCTCTCTGTGCGTGCATGTGTGTGTGTGTGTGTGTGTGTGTGTGAGAGAGAGAGAGAGAGAGAGAGAGAGAACCTGCATGAGCGAGCGAGTGGGAGTAATGTTTTAAATTTGTGTTATCCTTAGAAATATTGAGCATTGCCTTTAATACCAGATTTGAGACTTCATAGAATATTTTACATAATCTCCATCAGTCCCAGCACTTTATCTGCCCTGCCTGATTTATATTTGTTGCCTCTTTATTAAAATACTGAGGCCCACCTTCCAAAAACAATAATAAAAAGCTTAGTAGTTGATAAAGACTAGGGATGTAAACATGCTTGGCAGTGCTGACTACGAGTTGAAATTTTCCTATGAGGACAAGAAAGCTTTATTTTAGTTAGCTATACTTTGGATATGATGAGTTGTGATTTATGGTATATTTATTACTACATTTATATCCTGCCTTTTTTTCCTCCAAGGAATTTGGCAGTTCATATGTCCTCTTGCTCTCCATTTTATCCTGACAACAATCCTGTGAAGTAGATTTGGTTGAGAGTTAGTGACTAGCCCAAAGTCACCCCGTGATCTTTATGGTTGAGCAGGATGAGGACTAGAACCCAGATGCCCTGAGTTCCATTATGATACTAACCAGTACCCCATGTATTCCTGATATATTGAAGCAGAAGATAATATGAATGCATTTTAGTAGATCTGTATTCCATCTTTCAAATGAAATTCCCTAAGTAACATAAAATGGTATTTAAAACAAAACAGCCCAGTTGGAGCATGCATTCATTTTTGCATTTACCTTGTTCACTGCTTCCTTCCCTTCCTCCTCCAGATTCATTCTTACAGAGCAGTTGGTGTTGATTATCCTGCAGTGGGGCAGGGAACATTGCAGCCAAAGTAGCATTGCATTTGGGCATTTTTAAATTAATGCAATCCTTTGAATAGCTTTTTCGGAAGCATAAAATGACTTAGGTACTGAGTAAAACCTATGGATTATAGAGTTGAGTCGTAGAGAAATGAGGATATTCTGGATCTGAAATGAAATGTGTATTAGAAAAGAAGTTTCTATACATTGCAAGAATTGTTCATTTAAATTATCCTAACCATCTGTTTAACTTTAAAAGTTAGTTCCCAGGTTCCATTGCACATAGCATCATATTAAGCACTGGATCTTGGGGCAAAGCTGGGAAAATGCAAGAATGGAATTATGTAGCTAGAGACTGGATCAGTTTTTAGTGGCTCCCATTTAACCTATGGTATCAAGCAAATGAGTTGCTGTTTGAGATAAAACTGAAGGGGACAAAAATTTCTTTTTTTCTCTGACATGGTTACCAGACATTTTTCTGCAAGTGTGCTTCCTATCATGAGTGGCCAAGCATATTTCATTTTGAAATAATGTTGCCATACAAAGGAAAACTGTGGATGACCTGGCCACTGTCAGAAAGAACCATGTAGTGATGCATTGTATGTGTCTGCATTATGTGCACAATCACTTTGTACTGTTGTGAGGATCCCTGCAACATATGCCACCCATATACACTTGAGGGCAGGGACCTGCAAGGACCTCCCAGTAGTGTCCATAAAGCTCTCCAGTCCCTGTCCCCATTGATAATTTATGTTAAATGTTAGGCTGTCTAATTAAACATTAGAATGTCAGGTCCCCCTCCTGTTTCTAAACCTGCCATTGATCAATTGTTCCACTTGCAGGAAGTGATGGAAAGAGTTGCCTCCTCATCCTACCCAATCTTCTACCCACACAGACCTTTCCTTTTGTCTCCTTGTCTGTCTACTCCTGGTTTCTACCCATCTTCTTTCTTCCCTTTCCTATCCTCTAACTGCTCTTTCTCGCTCACTCATTCTTTTATTTTGCTTTTTTTCCTCTGCACAGAGTCTCTAGCTTCAGTGTTTCTCTCCTTCCTCTTCTCTAGACTCATTCTCTCTTTGCCCTACCGTCTTTTGCCTTGCTCTTTCACCCTCCCTCTGAAGCTCTAGCCTTTCTGTTTCTCTGCTTGTACCTCCTTGCCTTTCTCTTCTTGCCATATCTCCCCCACTACTACTACACCTCCATTGTTTCTCCTTCCAACATTGCTTTTTCTCTACTTGCTGTCCTCTGTCTTACTGTTTCCTCCTTCCTTTCAGCTTCTAGGCTTGCTATTTCTTCTCTTCTAGCTACCACTTTTGACTAGCAGGTTCCTGCAGAACCATATTATGACTAGCCACTTCTTTTATGGGAACCATTTTGGGAAGATGTGCGAGCAGTTTCCCAAATCCCCATGTGCGCCCACAGGTTCAAAAAGCCTTGCTTTGCACTGTACCTGATTTGTATCACTATAGTAATGAAATACTTCTGCTGCAATGAAGGTTTCCATCAGAGAAAGCAAGAGAAAGGAAGTATTTGTTGATTATTCATCCCTGTAATCCCCCCCTCCAAATGCTTTGAAACAGTGTGGGAGGTGGTACAGGAGGGCTGGGGAACTGGCTAAAATATCTCTTACCCTTTTAGATGATGTCACTATCCTTTGGATGAAAAAACATTCTGTTTGCTGACTGATAGCAATTGAATGCAATTGTTTGTCATGTCAGATATTGTTGAACATTACTTCATTCTCCCAGAAGTCTGTCATAATCTAGCATAAGAAGCAGGAAATGTGGTGGGGTCCTATTTCAAAATGTATAGAATTTTAAATCTATAGTTCCAATACATTTTCCTGTTTTTTTGCCCCAGTAAGTTTGAAAAATATATACATTAAATGATGCTCTTAAAACAGTTCTGTAAAATGCTAGCAATTAATTCAGATTTATGTTGTGCTTCTTTAGAGACTGGCTGTGGGAGTATTAGCAGAAAATGGCTTGACGTTGGAAGAATGGCTGCCTTCAGTGTGGATTACAGATCCTGTTCCCCGCCGATGTCCATTTGTACCACAAATGGGAGATGAGGTATTTTAATTGATCCTGTTTTTATGCCCTTTGACTAAGTTTTCCTGTTTTATAAGGCATCATTTGGTCTACTTTTTGTTTTACCAAATACCATAAAATCATTTAGGGTGAAAATTTATGTGTATTTAGACAGAAAGGACAAATCCTGCAACTTATGGCATTCCTTTGCCACCAATGTTTTCTAGACAGGAGTAGGATTCATCCCTCAGAAAACAATAAAAACCTAAAATCAAGCAGAACATTGGAAAATAGCAGCTCTTCTGGCCAGAAGAGGTATCCATGGTGGATTATGTGTCCCCCTAGCATTTAGAAGGAAGAAATCATGTGAACTAGATTATTTTACTGTCCTCCCTCTTACTAGTTCCTCTGTAGGTCCTTTCCTTCTGTTACTTAGAGCAATAAGCATCTTGTTTTCCTTCTGTATAGCTCAGCACTCCCACATCCCTCCTGTTCTTTTCCAGTGCACTTTATATACATACTTTTATCCTCTTATTAAGTTTTCCTTCTTGTATTTTTCCTCCTTTCTCTGGCAAATTCCCTCCATCTGCTTTGTTTCTACATCTCTTCTTGCTCTTCTGATTTGTCCAATGACTCTAGGAACATATTCCTTCAACAAGCATGCTGATTAAAAGTAAAACATGTCAGAATTGCGAGGAAACAAACTGCAGCCTCTTCTAGAGCTCCTCTCGTTTCTCTATGGGTTTGAACAAAATAAAGTAGAGGCCTAGTTGCACATCAGTGAATCTGCTAATCCAGGCTGCTGTGTATGTTATATGCAATCCATGTAGTGATGACCCCTTCCACATTAGATGGTTCAGACTCCGTAGTCTCTAATGGAATTGCTTTGTTTAGAACAAAGCAAAACTTTCAGAGCATTGAAGGAGTGGCACTGTTCCACGTGGAAGAACTCAAAGTGCTAGTTGAATCAACCACTGGATGGTGCAAAAGGACATTTAAGCCACTCTGTCAGTTCTGGAGGAAGCTTTGGATAAAAAAGTTGATTTAGCATTACTTCATCAAGCGCTTTTGTTGAAGCAAGAGTTTCTTCCGGGTTCCTTTCTGAACATGCTTACTTTGTTGAAATGGAGCTGGCATACCTCCTCTGATTTGTCCTCTTCTCCTTACAAACATAAGAGGAGGTGAAGAAGACCCAATTCTTCTCTGAAAATCCTCCTGTGTCTCAGCATCATTCCAAAGAGAATTTGACTGTAATAACCTGGGTTTTTATATTTAGGATGGGGAAGGGCAGATTACAGTCATTCAGGAGACAAATATATATTTCCTGAGGTTCAGTAAGTGACAACCTTAATTTATAACAAATAGGACTATAATGCTGAACTACAGTTAATTACAAATATAGTACTGCTTTTAACGGGGACTATGGCAGTCACTTTTGCAGTCATAGACTCTGCTGCCATCTACTCCTGAGTCACTCCAATAGCTGAAGCTTGTTCTAGTGCTTACTCTTTCTCTTCTTTCTACTGCTTTCCTCAAATTACAGCAAATTTCTCAGCAGCTCCAGGTCATTCTACCTCCATCTTCTCTTGTCATGCTCCTTAACTGCTCCTACGTGTATGTTTTCCTTCAGTGTATTTTCTTGTCATTTTCTTCTTCTACTCCAGAGCCAACATTCATTTTCTTTAAATTATCTTTTTTTTTAGGCTTGAGTTGTCTCACACAGGATCCACTGCCTACAGTATCTCAGGGAGTGTCACTTTTTTTGGACAGAAATTCTCCGGCTGAACACTTCCAGTTTCATTTAATCTGTTCAAATTAGAACAGATACAATTCTAAATACTAAATGATCTAACAATTTTGCTCAGAATTATCTACCCTTAAAACAACAGGCTATAGACAGTCTCAAGGCTTCTTTAGTAGATTTCCAGTGCTCCAGTACTTGATTATTGGAAGCCATCATACCCAAAGATAGAGTTACCCTGTAGAGGGTCTCAGGTGAAGTTTTCTGCCAGTGCCACAGAAATAAATGTAGTAGCTAGCTGGTGCCTCTAGCTTAAGCACTGGAACATGAATGTTTCCTGCAAGACCAAGAATGCTCCACTCCTTTCAGGAACAGATTCTTTTCAGTGGAGAGGCATTGAAAGCTATATTGGTGAAAATAAAGGATAATACTATGCCCTTTGCTCCCAAGAAAGCACAAGATTTATATACCACTGCTTATTCCAATATGGAAATTTTGGAGTTTTGAACAATAAAAAGAAAACAAACAAATGAATAAACCAAGGTGTTTAAAAACTGAGATCAGTAAAATCCTATGAGACAAATTCCACCATTCAGTCCTCAGAAAAGAAAGAAAATTAATTAATAGAAATACCATCCCTCTTTTGTAGATATCTTTTCCTTGGAGACAAAAGAGCCAATTGCCTAACCAGGGATTTTAGAAATGGCAAGCCATCACAGAATCAATCCAGTTTTCCTAATAGAAGCTAGAACTTCACAGTCACCAGTTTTAGGGAGTCAGCCAGCATACTGACAAATCCTAATACCATTGGGTGAAAGACTCCAATTTGATATCAGCAAATACATGCTACAAACTATCAGGACAAATGAAGTATCAGAGCTGCTAAAGAACTTGTGAGGCAAATTCCAGCCAGCCCCTCCCACTTGCTCCCCAAAGAAACAAAAAAGCCACCTATCTATTAGAGATGAATATGGTGAAACAATTTCAAAGTTTTTCTAACATTTATTTACTCTGGAAGGGAATGGAAGGGAATTTTAGATCAGAAGTGGACCCTGACCAACACTCTAGAAGCCCTTTAAAGTAATTTCGTGTCTGAGTAGGCCTCACTGCAGCATACCTAGGCCACACAATCCTACTTACCTATTATAGATTTCTCCAATTAGCCTACAAAGGCTTTGCAGTTTATCCTTGCAGTTTAGCCACATGTACCTTCACTAAGTTAATGGTAACACAAGTGGCACCTTTCCAACTACAGGGAATTCACATCTGTCCTTTTCTCAACTATCTCATATAGCTGTCTGCCTGTATGCCTAGCACTATTCAGAACCTGCCTTTTGTGCATGAATGTCTAGTAATTAAACCATTTGGTAAACCATCTAAAAATTACCTATACTCCTGCTTCCAAATACATTATGTGGGTGCCACCATCAGCGTGTTCCTGGGCTTTGTTTCTCTTTCTCTCAACCAAATTACTTCAGTTCCAAAACATCATAGACCTGACAGAAAAGGACCACATCTTGATGTCATGCACGGAAATTCTGCCTTGGTCTTGGTTTCATTAAGCCTCCCTCCCTGGCTGCTCTAGCTTTTTTCAAAACACATAAGGCAAAAACAATATGGAAGAATTTCTCATAACCACAATCAAGTGCTGCTTTTGATGATGGGGAGGGGCGTTCTTTGATGATGGGGTTCAAGACAAGAAACAACCCACAGTATAAGCTAGCTGGAATTCACATACAGTTAGTTCTTCAATCCCATTGTAAGACTGAGTGGATGCTTATTGAGAACAAGGCGTTTTTGCAAGATGCTCAAGAAACACATACAATGGCATTGCTTTGAAGTAGGTTTATTTTGGGGAGGCACAATTAGTAAATGAGGGTTTGGAAAGCTGAAGCACAAGTTCAGTAGCTGATCTGATGCTGCATAGAAATGGTGGGGCAGTAACATGTCTGGTTCTCTCTTTAGCATTTATTTCAATTTAGCTTATAATTTAGCTTCTATTACTATTCCCTCTATGGGATGTAGGTGGCACAGTGGTTTAAACTGCTGTGCTGGTTAATCAAAAGGTCACTGGTTCGAATCTGCACAACAGAGTGAGTTCCCGTTGCTCCATCTCAGCTCCTGCCAACCTTGCAGTTCTAAAGCATGCAAATGCAAGTAGATAAAAAAAGGTACCACACCGGTGGAAAGGTAACAGTGTTCCATGCACTTCGGTGTTTAGTCATGCCGGCCACATGACCATGGAGACTGTCTGCGGACAAGCGCTGGCTCCCTCAGCCAGGAAATGGAGATGAGCACCGCCCCCAAGAGTCAGGCATGACTGGACTTTAGTGTCAAGGGGGAACCTTTACCTTTACCTTACTATTCCCTCTTTTCTTGATGTTCAGGTGTGGGCTCAGTTGCTTATATAATCAAAACAATGCCACTCACACATGAGAGGAATGCATCCATAAAGTTCGGGAATGCTTAAGTTTGCAGAATTAAAAAAAAAATAAGAAAAGAGAAACCTTAAGGGTGAAGCAAGCCTGAGTCAGTCTGATGAGGATTGGGTGAATGTTTAGGAGGGTGGGAATGGAACTCTAGTGGGAGGGGAAATGGAAGGTTGTGGAAGACTGCATGGCTGGCTAGAACAAGGGAAGAAGAGTGTTGCAACACTTTGTTTCAAGCCACCTTTGAAACATTTGTATAATACTGACAAGTGACTGAACAATAGTTTTGAAGTGATACAGCAGTTGGTCTTAAATATTGGAGACTAAGGAGCTTGTGGGAAACTTGAAGGGAAGTGCTCACAGGGAATATAAATTAGGGCAATACTATGATGTTGTGCCACTACATACATCTTTGGGAACCAATGGAAGAATTAATTTTTATAATGTGTCTGTATTGTGAGAGGCAGGGGAACCAGGAGAAAGGAGGCCAAAATTCTCCAGATGATCTGACAGCTAAATTGCAGTTTTATTACATGCTAAAGGTTCTTATTTAAAGATAATTAGTATGTTGAGATGATTTATTTACTAATGGGATATTTTGAGTCCCTATGTTTTGTGATATATCAACTTTGGTATTTAATTTCTGTGTTAAAGGTTTACTATTTTCGACAAGGCCATGAAGCATATGTTTTAATGGCAAAGAAGAACAAAATATATAGCATTAATCCCAAAAAACAGCCTTGGCATAAGATGGAACTACGGGTAACTTCTTTTAACTTCTTATTATATATAAAGTTGTGATCCAGTTCTATATATGATACATAAATTAATATATAATACTCTTTGCCCCCATCACAGGAAAAAAAATCACTGAACTGAAAAGGACTTACTTCTGAGAGATATGCATAGTATTGCCCTCTAAAACTGACTTTCTGCACTTCTTAGTGCAGTGCAACCATTATACTATGGCCTGTTGACCATGACAGGAGCAGATGGCAATAATGCAGACTTTCTTTCCTGAACACTGCCTCTCTTGTGGTCATCTGTATGCATACTTGTGCATGTACAAATACAAAGGAGAAATAATATTGCCAAATGAGTGCAGGTGATAACATGGTCATCTTTCTTATGGTCTTGCATAGGCAGTATTATATAAAATGCAACACCTTGATTCTTCTTATCCCCTTATGTTCCAATCATATTCTCTGTCTACTTAGGCACTGAGCCAAGATTCAGCATTAAAGTTGTACAACATTGAAAAATATACATTGTTGACCTAAAATTACGGGGAACAACCTTTGCCAAATCACATTGTCAAAACTGATCTGTTTCTGTTTGGTGTTTTGGGGGAAATTGTTTATTTTATGTAAACTGTAATGTTTTGTCTCTGTAAGGAACAAGAGCTGATGAAGATAGTTGGAATAAAGTATGAAGTTGGGCTTCCTACACTTTGCTGCCTTAAACTTGCTTTTCTTGATTCCGATACTGGTAAATTGACTGGAGGATCTTTTACAATGAAGTAAGGAAAAATGCTTTTCGCATAGGGATCTATTAATACTTATGTGTAAACAAGTGCAGTCTTGTAGCAGGATTGCTGTAGATTTAAATGTAATGGTTTTTATCACTTGAATGTGGATTAAAAGTACTAGTTTTTAAAGTCACTTTTACACCTTGTTTGCTTTGTATAATGGGCTACACTATTTGTATGCTGTTTAAAAAGAGCTGTATCAAAATTCATTGGGTTTTATTCAATGGGGAATCCACTAGAACAGATTTGGAGAGGAGGGGTTCTGCAGTGGAGGAAAGGAAAGAAAAATTGTGTTGCAAGTCTGTACAACCCTGAGTTCCATCCATAATATAAAATGTCCTGTAGAAAACTTTTTAAAAATTAACTGAAAACACCTATTTTCAGGCAAATGAAATAAGCAGTAGGTCTTGCAAACAAGGTTGAGGTTAAATAAAAACAATGAGGGAAGGTGCAGTTTGGAAAGGAAAAGCAACAGGTACTTTTCACTTCTTCCTACACCCTGCTGCCCTCCACTCAGTACCCTTGGAGAGGGAACTCTGGTGGAGGAAACAGTGGCTGTAGGACATTGTAGAGGAGAAGCAGTGGGCAGCTAAGAATCAAATATATTTTTTCTTCCGATTGGTACCCACCTCCCATTTTTCAGCTTTTCTGTTCATCTTGAGTCTGTCTCAAAGCAGCTCCCTTCAGTTTGTTTCTTTATTGAAAAACAATGAAATAGTTCTTCCAGTTCTTCTTCATAGTCTCCGTGCAAACACACTAATGGGCTTGACACGCAGCATGAGGCCTCGATCAGAGAAAACTTCCAAAGCTCAGTGCCATGGAGTGGGTAGGAGCCGGGCCCCAGTATATAGGAGGCAGCTCCTGCCCAGTCCCTGAGTGCCTGAAGACCACGCTGTCCCAAGCATGCGAGGGATCCTAGGTGTCCTGTGGAGGAAACAGTGACCTCGCCCTGCCCCAGCCCATATGAGGTGGAAGCTGACAATAGCCAGCGGGGCGGAGGGCGGGTTGTGTGAATGCACGGATGACCACTCGAAGAACAACAGTTACAGGTAAGCAACCTGCCTTTCTTCTTTGTGGTCTCCGTGCAAACACACCAATGGGTGACTAGCATGCTTCCCTTCCCGGAGGAGGGACTATTGTCACCGCAGGATTGAGGAGAGGACCGCCCTTCCAAAGGTGCAGTCCTCTCTGGCATGGACATCTAGCTGGTAGTGGCGGACAAAGGTCGAGGCTTTGGACCATGTCGCAGTCCTGAAGATCTCCTGGAGTGGGACACCAGCCACGCGCGTAGAGTGCGTGCGTGGACATCAAGCCCATTAGTGTGAATGCACGGATGACCACTTGAAGAATGACAGTTACAGGTAAGCAACCTGCCTTTTTCTCACTTGTAACGTATATGTTCTGAAATATATTTGGCTATGAAACAGCAAACATTTATCTCATATTAATTTAATTTGCTTATTTTTAGGTATCATGACATGCCAGATGTTATAGATTTTCTAGTTCTAAGGCAGCAGTTTGATGATGCAAAACACAGGCGATGGAACATAGGTGGGTGCCTTAGAATACCCAGTGATTTCAGATTTTGATTTAAATAGAACTGAATTGTAATTATGACAAAGGAGACACTTTTTGAAACCTTCACATTCCTTTCTGTATTTGTACTAACTTCAAAATACAGTGTATGACTTGTAAATATAAACATTTAACATTTTAACTAGGAACTTGGCTATAAATTTGGCTAATAATGGCACAGCCAATATATGGAATCTGTTGGTTCTTATTTAGATCATATCTTAAAAATGTGCACTGACATTATTTATTTAATGTAAACATTTATCCTGTTTCAATTTTGTTTAAAATAAAAAAGCAGCATGGGTCAAAATCCTTGCTACTTGGATAATGGTTTTGTGGGAATTTTCATTAACTCAAGTTGCCACATTTCAGTGTTAACTTTTTCTTAGGAGTACTGGGTTGTTGATATTCATAAGTTTAGAATCTAAGCTTAGTCATATTTTATCCTTCAAAAGTGCAGTTCACACCACAGTTGAACATTGACAGTTTCAAATACATATAACAAAGCTACTGTACAATCATTTGAGTCCCATAGCTGATCATGTCTGAGGAAAGACATCACCTCAGTGGAATGTTAAATTGTTTGGGGTTTTTTTTTCTTGTGTTCAGCAGTTGGCAAAAGTTACAACTAAAAATGTTGACAACATTTATGAAATACCACTGTTGAATGATGTAATTTGGTATTCTTGTTCAGGTGATCGATTTAGATCAGTAATTGATGACGCCTGGTGGTTTGGAACAATAGAAAGCCAGGAGCCCCTTCAGCCTGATTATCCCGACAGCTTGTTTCAGTGCTACAATGTCTGGTTAGTAACTTTGCTTATACATGTTGTTACCATCTCATTCATGTTAAATATGCCTAGTCAGTATCTGGTAAGCTTTATTCTTTTGTATCTGTATCCCCCTAAAATTTGGGGGAAATATTCAGGTAAGCAATGGTGCTAAAAACCATTTGTTTGTCTTTTTTTCTTGAAGTTGGGACAATGGAGACACTGAGAAAATGAGTCCTTGGGATATGGAGCCTATACCAAACAATGGTATGTGTCTACTTTCCCCTAGATGTACAGAAAGGAGACAGAACTTACTATGTACGTATGTGATGAACTGTAAAGAAGTTAAGCTGATTATGCTGTAAAAGAAGGGAAAAAAGCAATCTCTGATTTTTAAAATTATATTAAGAAAACTGTCATTAAATTGCAAGTTTGTTGAGCAAATCAAACATTGAATTTTGTTTGAAGAGAAATTTCAGTTTTAGCATTGAAATGCTGGATTTCATTTTGCAGGAGGCAAATATTTTGCAAGGATTACCAGGTTTGCCCTTCCACTGCATCTCTCTAAGATGCGTTGCTGACTTCAGAGTAACAATGTTGTGCAATCCCCCATAACAACTTTATTAAAGCTATGCTCTGCAGATCAACAGATTTGGACAAATAAATTAATTGAATTTAGAAATTAACATATTAAGTGTGCTAAGCTGATTGCTGCTGTTCCTGGGTGGTAGTCTTTAAAGTAGAAGGATGAAAACTCAGTTCCAAATCATGTATTAAGGTAAGTGACTGATTGAAATGCAGTTGCATGGAGACAGCAGCACTTGGAAAGCAAAATAAGATTTCATCTATTCCTGTATAAAGCCAGGTTTTTGCATGTTATGTTAGCATAATTTAAAGTACTGAAATTCTGAGAGGAGCCAAACTCCTAAGAAGACACCTACAATTTCTGACTGGCCTTGCTAGCCAGGTCAAAAACTGGGGATGTCCAACCTTGGCTTGGATATTTGTAAAACACTGAGCCGGCTTTCCCTGAAAGAAAAGCTGGTGGATTTCTAGTTTGGTTATTCTGAGGCAATGCATGTTGTGCCACTCTAGCAACAAAGCAACCAAAGAACATTCTGCTGTCTTCCCAGTCTTGGAGATGGAGGATGGGCAGAAATTGCCACACAACTGCCAGGATGATCCCTCCCCACCTCTGAAGCTTCAGAATTGGAGGAAAGGCTGAACACTCACCATGAACTGTGTGGCAAGCAGAACCATGAAAATGTACTAATAAATGCCTTGTTACATGAAATAGGTTCTGCATTTATGTGCTAAGCAGCTTTGGCCATACATGCTGGAATTGTTGTGACTACAGAAAAAAAAAAACAAGTGCATCAAACTTTTTGGAAGAGTGGTTTAAATTTAATCCTGTTCTCATGTTAGGAGATAATTACATTCTCTTCTCCAGTTCAGGTTCTTGCCCTCTTAATATTATTCTTCAATCCTGGCTATTAAGGATTTCTCTAACTCAGTGGTTCCCAATCCTTTTTCACTTGTGTACCCCTTGGCAGCTCATTTCCATAAATTGTACCCTTCATAGTAGCAAAATGTATGTAATTAATATAGTTGCTGCTATTTGAAATTTATATGCTTTAGCTGTAAATAAATAGTCCAATAATGGGATTAAGAGGCAGTGGAATAATAAGGTGAACAGACAGTGCTCTAACTGAATAGGAGTACACTGAAGCTCTTTCTAGGAATTCTAAATACTTAATTTCTGACTGGTTGGAAGACTATTTGACATTATGCTTGTATGATGTGGAAATGGATTTCTTTACATGTACATTTCTCCCTGGAATCAAGAGGTTTTATTAATTAGAGATCTAAAATGTTATAGCTTAAATCATATAGCTTTTAGATCCTGCCCCATATAGATGGGCTATTTCATTTCTTACTTTAAAAAAATCAAAGGAAAGCAAAACAAAAACCTAGTTAGTTTGTCACAAGAAAGGATAAGTTGTTTTGCATATTAATAGAAGATGCTGAGTAATGCAGTACACACACCCTCACACATTTATATAAAGCATTTATTTCATTTCTATCTTGCCTTTCCACCAAAATTGCCTTTCAAGGTGCCAACACTAAAATAACAGGTTAAAAACAAATCTTAATTAAAATGTTACACAAAAATAAATCCATAATAATGCAACTAAAAGCACAGCAGTCAAAGAAATGAACCTCCAAGAAGTTAAACATCATTTCAGCAGCAGCTTACTGAATAGAGAGGTTTGGTCTGAATAAAAACAACTTTGTTTGCTGGCAGAAGCAATGTAGAGAGAGAACCCTTGTCAGGGAGTTCTAGAGCTTGAGATTGGCCACCAAACAGCCTTTTTTGTTCTAGCAGGCATCCTTCCAGTGACACCAGGAAAGAGAGAAGGGCCTTCCACAGAGCTTGTAAAAATCATGCAGTTTCATATGACAGAAGGAGATATTTCAGTTAGCCTGATCTCCAAGCTGTATAAGGGTTTATCCATCATAATTAGCACATTAAATTGTGCCTGGAAACAGACCATGTTTTAACAAATGAATCACATGCTTCTTGTAACCTGCCTGGTCAACAGTACGAAGAATCACTGGAATCTGTTTCAAAGGCAGCCATATTTAGTACACGTTACAAGAGTCCAAATGGTGTGTGACTTAAGAATTGCATGACTGTGGACAGTCATCTCTAAGAGCAGGTGCATGTGACATAAAAGCTTCAGCTCTGCTAAATGCACTCTTAGCCACTGCTAGAACCTGACTTCCCATGTACAGACCTCAGTCTCACAGTAAACCCAAATTGCAAACCTGAAGCTTCACAGGAGTGAAACCCCATCCAACACAGGTGAAATCTTTATTTCCTGATCTTCCTGCAACTAACCAGGATCATCTCTGTCTTCTTGGAATAATACTTCAATTTGTTCACCCTCATCAAGTCCATTATTGACATCAGACATGTATGTCTTCCTCGGATTTAGATGGAAAGAAAAGATAGAGTTACGTGTCTTCAGCAATGGTTTCAGCTATATGTTATATTGCTCGGAGGATAAGCTGGAACCCTGAGGGTCATCACAGGCCAGTGTCTATGGCATCAGACAGGAATCTCCTAGTGCCTTTTTCTGAACTCACCCCTCCAAATCACCGTGAAGCAGCACCTCCAAACCCAGTCCTAGAGAGATGCTCCAGAAGAATACTATGGTTGATGCTATGGAAAGCTGCTGAGAATTCTTACAGAACCATCAGGGACGCATATAAGTCCTGACATAGCTAGAGCCTGATGCCAGATTGAGATGCTTTAAGATAATTCATCATCCAGAACTTCTGGAGCTGAAAAGTCATTACAGATCATCCTTCACCTTACATAATATCAGGGGAGTGGTTGGAAATTGTCCATTATAGTGGGATTTAGGGAGAGTGTTTTCAGCAGAGGTATAAACATGGCCTTCTTAAGGCAAAGGATCACACCTTGACCTACATAGGCATTCATCACTATCCCTACTTGGCTTGCCTCTCTCACCCACCCAAGTGATTTTTATAGGGACTATATATATCTCACATGCTGTATATAGATGAAATGCACGTTTTTTATAATCATTATCAGTTGATTGTTCTTAAAATAATAATGAGCTATAGATTGTTAATCCACACCATTGTGTTTTTTGATATGAAGTTGCTAAAGTCAAAAGGATAATTATATCAGTTATTATGTCATTTTATGTTTTATTTCAGCTGTGTTTCCTGAGGAACTTGGAACTAGTGTTCCTTTAACTAATGTTGAAAGCAGAGCATTGATATACAAACCTCTGGATGGAGAGTGGGGTTCCAGGACTCGTGATGATGAATGTGAAAGAATAATTTCAGGGATAAACCAGCTGATGACTCTAGGTAATGCTTGATATGAAAGAATAGTGTCATACATATTGATGCTCTGTGAGTATCTATTTAGATGGCCTTCAGTTGTTGCAAATATTTAATTTGGCTTTTTGTATTTAGCGTCTTCTTAAAACACTCATTGACATCCAAGTTGTTACTGGGGCACTTCATCTGTGACTGTGCTCCTATATAGTGATGATTTCTATGCAGGAAAATTGCAATCTTGAAATGGTTTCGCAGAAAATGATTTTCTATGTGTTAATCATTAAATGCAAATGGTATTTAGTCAGTAAGTTGTATGCCAATTCTGCTTAATATTAGAAGGTTTAGAGAAGTAGAATCCAACATTATCTACTAGTTAGTTGTACACCATTATCCCTTCAAGTTAGTTGTACACCTTTAAAATGCATTTCTCTAATGTAGTAATAACGTATTTGCTTTATGTTTAGATATTGCTTCTGCTTTTGTGGCACCTGTGGATTTCCAAGCTTATCCAATGTACTGCACTGTTGTTGCATATCCTACTGATCTCAGTACAATTAAGCAAAGACTGGAAAATAGGTTTTACAGGTTTGTTCTAAGTCTAATTTATTCAGAGTATTTTTTTAAACATTGCTATTCTTGTTTATGATTTCATGACATAATTTTTGGGCAGCCTTGCTTTTACCTGAGCACAGCATGTAACAGCTACTGTTATATGTACTGAGATGGCATACTGGTATGTTCTTGTGAAATGCTCTACTCTACCTTAGGTTTCTCTGGCTTTGAAGAGATTTTCTAAAAGGACTTGTAAATACCTTATGGACGACTTATCTTGATTTTTGTAATTCCATGTTTTTTCTATAATTTCATGCTTCAAATATCATTGAGCCACTATTTGACGTAAAGCTGCTGCTCCATTTGCAACTGCTTAAATTTTAGTTCTGGCCAGGGTGACATATGCCTTAATTACATCAGATCTGAATAATTGCAATGTGCTCTACACAGAATTACTTTTGAATAATTGTCATAAACATCAGTTGGTCCATAAATGCAGTGATGACCCAGTTGTTTACAGATACTTTATACACAGAAAATTTAACTCTCAGGCTGAGATGGGTCTGCTGGCTTCCAATTTATTTTGGAGAACAGCTCAAAGTACTGCTGATGGTTTTTAAAGCCCTGAATGGATCATTGGAGCTCAGCCCTAGCACCTGCTGCCAGTACCAAGGCTTTCCATGGAAAATACAAAGTACAGGCAGTCCCTGGGTTATGAACAAGTTCTATTCCTGAGAAAATGGAAATTAGTCATTAACTCATATTTGTAAATACGTTGGACCAGTCCTTCACATTTGCAAGGGTTAGGAGCACAGGACCCCTTGAAAGTTGAAAACCACAAACATCCCCCCCCCCAAAACTCACCAGTGCTTCCTCTTCTCAGCAAGGAAATGCCAGATGGGCAGGCAAGAAGGCATGCTTTGGAGGCTTCCCTCTCTCCCCTTTTGCTTCCACTCCCTCCCTCTATGGTGATGACCATTTTATGCAGCAATTTTTAAAAATTAACAAGCTTTATGACAGTTCATAAGTATGGGTTGTTCATAACTTGGGGACTTCCAGTAGTACTAAAAGCAAGAGAGCCCTCAAGAGCCTGCAGAACATTATGGGGATTACAGAAAGAGCAGGAATTACAGTTATGTTTGAACTTGGGATGACATTAAAAAAACCTACACATTTACAGTTTGTCTCTCCCCTTTTTGTTTTATTTTGGGAAGTGTTGAAGTTACAAAAAGACTTTCAGTTTTCATGTTTTTTTCTATTTCAAAGGCGACTTTCTTCACTTATGTGGGAAGTTCGGTATATAGAATATAATACACGGACATTCAATGAACCAGGAAGTCCCATTGTTAAATCAGCCAAGTTTGTCACAGATCTTCTGCTGCACTTCATGAAGTAAGCTAAACAATTGTTCCAGAAGTACATATTCTGGTAATAGTTTAATTTTGGTTTTAGAGGGAGAATTAGTCACATGTTTTTATCTATAGTATATAGGCTTCATATTTACAGAGTGAATTCAGTTTTTCAGTATTTCCCATACATCTGGAAGTAAGTACTCCAATTCTGTTGTGTATAAGATAAAAGTCTTTTTGTTTTGTTACAAGGAGGTGGAATTTCTATGGGATATGCTTCAGGAGCTCTTTAATTGCAAACAAACTGAGATAGTGCATTTATGTATTGAAATGTGAATAAGATTTATTTCTGAAATCCTGCTTGGAGACTAATATTTGTTTTCTGAGCAAAGCAGCACTTAAGTTTGCTGGTTTGTTTACTTAATTGATATTTATTGTTTGTGGCATAGCATGGAGATGGTAATTTGCTATGACAAGATTATTATTTCTTGTATAGATATTAATCCCTTGTACTTTATAGAATCCTGTGTGCTAAACATGTTTAGTAAAAAGAGAAAGAATATGGTTCTACTGAAAAAATGTAAATAAACTAAACTAACGGATAATCACTTGAATTAGACTAAGAATAAAATAGTACTTCATTCATTTTTGTATGACATAGCACCATGATTATTATGTAATGATTATTAATCACTCCATTAACAAATTTGGTTAGTATCTCACTACTTTAGAGTTGTGCCTAGTATAGTCAGCAAGAAAATATTATTGATCTGTCCCCACTCCATTTAGCATAGTTCCAGGTAGCAACCTTAACTTTTTTACTTTTGTTGTTGTTGATGACTGCCACCTACCACACACACAAATATATATATATATTCTTCTTGATTGTTGTCTGACCATGAGAGAGACAGGCAACATCAGCAAGTAATTTTACCTATGAAAAAACACGTCTTTATTGTAGGTGCACACTTAATAGAGAGTGAGCCCATCTCCAATTGAGACCAGTTGTCACGCATAATGAATTTATACATTTAACTTTTTGCAGTGATTAGTAACAGAAAAACATAATAGCAGAAAACATTCCATTACTTGAACATGGTAATCGTGACCTACATTTCTGGTGTCAAAACAACTGCCTCCAGCCTTATTCTGATATTCTTGACAGAGATTTATTTATATTTTTGACCCTCTTGTGTCTCTCTGTTAGAACCTTAAATAATTGACCCTTGTTGTTTGATCATTAGGAAAAAATTATATTCTTCAATGTTTTAGGTCTTGAGAACAAATTTTCATGAGCTGGAGTCCTCCTCCTGAGTAAACATGCTGCTTTGGAACTCCTTTTCCCAACAGACATCAGTATTACATGCCTCTGAGTAACCCAGAGTAAAACATTGAGCCCTTTTTACCATCAATCATTCCCTTACATTTTTATGACCTCTTTGGTATCTCACTCCAGAAGGCAGGGCACTGTGAAACCATGATCATCTATCTGCATTTTTCTTGTTTTTCACCCAATGGAACCTCCTACCGTTGCTGGCACCTCTTCTTCAGGAGGAGGGACTTCTTCGTCCAACAAACTACTGAGTTCTCTATTCCCACTCCCCTGCTTTGAAACATGACCAGCCTCCAACTGTACCTCCGCCCTGTGGATAGGTAGACTGGGTTCCCACTAGCCGAAACTTTCAGCCCCCATCCTCTTTTCCTGACTCTTCATTCCTATGGGTCCTCAGACCAAACTTCCACACCTCCCCCTCTATCTTAGACATTCCCTGACCTTGGTCTCCTGCTTGGGCATGCTGAGAGTCTACAAGAATCTCATCCTCACTAACAGCTTGAGCTCCTATTGAACTGGGCAGCAGCTCATGCCTGCATGGCGACCTTAGTACAGTGCATGCACACGACCTAAATAACACTTTAGATTTATAATGTAATAAGACTTGAATAAAGTATAGTAGAGCAGTAGGAAGAGTAACTGGTAGGCCATACAGAAACAGGGACCTTATTTGTATTAGGAGTGAAACTTGCACATGTAGTGTTTGAGGAGTGGGTTTGCCCTTTGCTGGGTAGAGTTGGCTAAGGGAATCAAGTAGGAATTTTCTTGTACATGTTTGGAGGACAAAAAAAAATTAATTACTTTTCAAGACAGGTAAAGGTACATTTTAACAGCTACCAAATACACATGCAATATATAGAACTTTTAGTTCTGAATTACACTGGGATATGCAGAATAACTGTATAGCTCAGCATGACTGCTAATGTGAATAAGCAGCTCCTTAACACATTGTGTTTCTATTGAACAGAGATCAGACTTGCTATGACATAATTCCATTGTATAATGCCATGAAGAAAAAAGTCTTGTCGGACTCAGAGGAGGTAAGTTAAAATGTTAAGGTTTTTAATTCTTGAACATTATATAACAGTTCTGCTTTTCAGCCCAGTGTTGGTTTCCCAAAGAGCTTCAAACAGTTAAAATAAAACACAAATACTTATAATTCAGAACAGAAGGTACAGGAGAGGGGAAACAGGTAGATAAAACTGGTGTAAGCACAGTTGAAGCATGCCTGTCCTGACCTTGGCAGTGCTAGCTGTATGTCTTGCAGCTGGAAATGCATACAGGCTCCATCAAAAGATGTCTAAAACGAGCCTGTCCTGGATAGATTGCATCAGTTATACTTTTGCTCAGAGTGATAAAGGCAAGAGAAGCAGCAATAGTAGCAAGCAGTGGGTGCTGCATGTAGCTCTTTTGAGTATGACACTTGATCTTCGCAGAGCAACGTGTAAAAAGAATGTCAGGGTTGCAGGTTCTCAATAAACAGGAAAGTGAATAAATACGGGGTTCTGTGAAAGCTATTTGTCAAATACTTAATATATGTACATCATATGATGCATGTTTATTGCTCAAAGGAAGAAGAGAAAGACATTAATATGCCTGGCACATCAACTAGGAAGAGGAAGGTAATTTTGTTTTACTTGATTTTTTTCTTTGATTATGTGCAATTATGCAACAAGCATTTTTCCTAAGCTTGCTCAGATAGTGTATATATTAATATTTAATAGTATTGATGGTTGCTTTAATAAGTGTTAAAAGTAATAATTGCTACTGTCGTGAGTTCCTGAATGGTGGGCTGGAACCTGCAGATGCCACCAGGAAATGTAGTGCCAAAGAGATGTTTTCACTTCATGAGGCAACATAGACCCAAACAAAAATTAATTTTCTGTTTCTGGTGCACAGGGGCAACTACTTATTTAATCATAGTTAAAGGGATACTTTTTCCATTTTCTCTTTATTTTGTAAGCAAGGCTATTTATTTAATCAACTGTATACAATTTTGCCATTCTAGGATCATCAGCCAAAGCGGAGGCTGCGGAATAGAGGTCAGTCTTATGATACTCAGGCATGGAAGAGACAATGCCAGGAGCTGTTGAATCTGATTTTTCAGTGTGAAGATTCTGAGCCTTTTCGCCAGCCAGTGGATCTTCTTGAATATCCAGTGAGTAGGGTATTGGAATATGTTACTCTTTCCACTTTCACCTTAGATGAGCGAAATAGCTGCCATATTTCCTTAAGTAAATTACAAAAATATTCAGTTTCAACAAGTTATTCCTCTTTTCCCTATAGGTATGAATGTATTTGGGATTTTATATATTCTGCTAATTAAGCTGTTCATTTGTCAATATGTCTAAATGATTTGTAATACATTATTAGTTTTCCTTCCCAGAAAGGGGATATTGTTCCTGGGCTTAAAGGACAGTTTGAATAAAGATCTGTGGTTTTACAAAGTCTTGCTTTTTACACAAATTATTACTTTTGCAATAAATAGTTTAATCTTAGATTGTTGAAATTCATTTTTAGCATTTCTGTTTCTTTTTTTTAAGGATTACAGAGACATAATTGATACACCAATGGATTTTGCTACAGTTCGAGAAACATTAGAAGCAGGAAATTATGAATCACCAATGGAGTTATGTAAAGATGTCAGACTTATATTCAGCAACTCCAAAGTTTATACACCATGCAAAAGATCACGAGTATGGTTTCAGTTTTTACATTTAAATATACTCATATGATAATTAAGGTTATGCTCATTCCTGGGAATGTTACATGCATACTTGATCTCAATATGGAGATCAAAACTCATCTGAAGTTTTAAATTGTGAAGCATTTTAATGAGCCTAGTTAGTGCTTTTACTTGAAAGAATTATTTGTAAACAGCCAAGAAACATATAATTAGAGTAAACTTGCAGTAATGGTACAATTTCATAGCCTCCCAACATTGTCTGGCAGAGGTTACAGTCCCAGACCTCTAACCTCAGAAATGCCTTTCAAGATTGGTGTTGGGATTGTATCCTTGGCTTCCCTTTCTGTGCCCCTGCACTTGCTGCAGTTCTTTCTGTACCAGCTGGGCTCCAAAGATGGAAGACCATCCTCAAAACCAGCATGACCGGGTTCAATTCCAGGGGGTGGGGAGGGGAGGAGCAAGGCACTGCCATCATCTGAGAATCCTGGAAGTGCCTAAGTTTCCCCTTCTTACTAAAAGGGAAAGTATATTTTGATAGCAGACTTGGCGGTCTGCATGTTTTGAGGCCAGCAGGGAGTGCCTTTCTTTGGATGCCCAAAATACAGATCAGTCTTGCTTTATATATGCACTGACTCTAGCACAAATTAAGTTTGTGAAATAACTGGATTTACTGTCATATTAATACTTTAATATTTTAATAGATTTACAGTATGAGCCTGCGCCTGTCTGCCTTCTTTGAGGAACACATTAGTTCCATTTTATCAGATTACAAATCTGCTTTACGCTTTCATAAAAGAAGCACCATTAAAAAAAGAAGGAATAAAAGAAGTAGAAGCAGCTCTCTTTCTAGCAGTGCTGCATCAAGGTATGATATGTTCTTTTGCGTATGTCAGATATATTTACGTTGGCATGACAGTTCTTAATAGTTCCTTTTATTAATATTGTATGTTACATAAAAATGGTTTGCCATCTTGGTTCCTTGCAGAAAAGCCCAGGTTTAGGTCCCTTTCTTATTGTCCAGTTGCCCAAGGTGCTACTTGACCCCTGAGTTTTGGGGTTCTTCCCCTCTCGCAGCAGTTGAAATATTATTCTGCTGTGAGTCAGTTGACTAGCCAAAGATGCTCATCCTACTGTAACTGAAACCTGCACTGACCATTTATGACCTCTTTGTCAATTTATGACCTCAATTTATGAAACCTGTAAGAGAAACCTGCACTGACAATTTTAATACAATTTCATGTTAGTTCCAGAAGCATGCAGCCCTTTGAATATCCAGGACCTATGCCATTCAGGCCACTAAAGATTAAAACAAGCATTTTGAGTTTCTGGGGTGGCACTGAGAGAAGCAAGAGGAAGTGAGAGACTGATAGGACTATGCATGCATGCACTTCAACCAGAGTAGCTCATTGGTGAAATGATCAGGGAATATTGTTTATATTTTGTTGCATAAAATAGCAGTTGTTTGACCTGTCACTTGTTTATAGTCCGGATAGGAAAAGAAGATTAATAAAACCACAGATGAAAGCTGAAACCCCTGCTGCACTTTCAACCTCTGTACCTGCACGTTCAACATCCTTGAGAAACATAGCTGCCCAGATGAATGGAAAAGCAGTTGATTCCGTGACTTTAGTCCGAACTAGGAGTACTAGAGCAGTAACAGAAATGGCTGTTAATGAACAGCCTTCCACTTCTTCAGGAGGAAAGCCTTTAACTGTGAAGCCTAGTGGCACTGTTGTATCAGGGAAAACAGGTGTGTAAACTTGCTAATTACCTTTTCATCTTCTAAATCTGTAATATCATGGATTCCATTGTGAAACAGTCCCTTCTGGCATGTGGTGTCCAAATGCCAGAAGGAGGGTATTCTCAGTGCTGGCAACCTTTTCCGGGTGTTGCCTTTCATTCTTTTGATACCTAGAGAAGTTTTTTTTTTAATTCACCCAGGCCTTTAAAAGAATTTGATCTTCAAATATGGGCTCCATTCTGGTGTATAACGTATTCTATATTTTAAAGTATAAACTGGTTTCCTTTCTCTCTTGCTTTGTTTTTGCAAGTTGAAAAGGGTTTTATAGAGCTCATTTGTTTTGTTCTTGTGTCACTGACTGGGTTTGCACAACATGGGTGGATGGATTCACAGTGGATCATTGTGTTCTGCAGACTCAGAATGTAGCATGTTAATTGGCCTGAAGTTACCTTGTCACCCTATGGCTTGTAGTAGGGATTGTTGTACCCGTTGGACTGTTTTTTTTCTATTCAAACTCAAGTGACTGATTCTGTGGTGGATACAGGGAATCAATGAGTGAGCGGTTCTTGCTGAGCTTCTCTAGGACAGTGGCACTTTGGAATGAATTTAGTTGTTCAATAACTTCTTTCCCCCCCTCCACATGTGCTGGATGCACACAGTGTGATTTACCTAAAAATGATTTATCTGTGTTGTGTGTGGCTTCCTGTGTCATCTGAAGCGGGCAAAGTGACTTCAAAACCAAGCCAGAACCCATAGCTTGTGGTACCATCCTGGGTTGGTTTAAGACCCATTCTTTGCTGTGCGTGTCACCTAGATTAGATAACATGGGTAGCATCACACTGCCTGAATGCTAGGCAGATCACCTACTGCACACCTGGCATATGTGAGGAGTGGGAAGAGGTCACTTCTCTTCCCACCAATTATTGGAAGTTGGCCAATGGCTTAGTCTCCCTTTTGATCACATGTCCTTTTGCAATAGTTATCTTATATTTATATTGTGCCCTTGTTCATCTTGCAAGGAATCCGGGGTGGTTTACAAGTTTCTTCTACCTTCCCATTTTATCCCTGCAACAACATATGAGGAAGGTCTGGCTGAGAGTCCATGACTGGTTAAAAGTCACCCATTCAGCTTCATGGTTGAGTGGGGACTAGAATCTACATTTCCCAGTGACAGACCCTTGAATGTGTCCAGGTTACACATTTGGGCAGCTGTCTGTGGTTTGCCACTCAGGTGGAGGACACTGAGAACAGTCAGGTATAAACAAACAAAAGTTAGAGGATCTTACTGGGAGGGATGATATACATACCACCTCCTTTCCCTGGCAGAGATCTCATGGCTTCACTTCTTGCTTGACAGCTCACCATTTGACAACTGACAAATGATAAACAAAGCAACAGATTGACCTATTTGAAGCCCTGCTTTGTCAGTGTACATGGATGGTGCCTCTTGTATTTCAACTGGAGGCATCATCCCATGGCATTGATGAGGCATGGGTGCACATTTGGGATAGTTAGGGTTGTGTACCTGCACACCTCTGGAAATCAAAAGAAACATTAGTGGAAAACAGAAAGGGTGGCAAATGAGTGACAGCTGCTCTAATGTGTCACCCGAACAATTTGAAGTGAGGTTGTTTTGGAGATTGCTTTTGTTTTTTGCAATCACTGAAAAAAGGTTAAAAGGAGGAAAAAAGATGTGGCAATTAGGCTACCAGGCAATGCAGGGAGAAAAGAGAGATCCTACTGTGGAGTTTCCTGGGGATACCCACAGGAGGACCAAGTAGGAAGGAGTGGAAGGCAACCCATACTGAGCCTGAATCATCCAGTTTATTTACAGGCTGGATTGCCAAGTCATGTGAACTCACCCATTGGAGTTGCATTTATTATAAGCTGCCCAGAACACATACATTACTTCTATGAAGCATAGTGACCCATATGAAGTTAAAAAAGAACAAACATGCATATATTATTATGTAAATTGTATAGATCAAGAATTATGAATATTGTGAAGCTCTAGAAAAATGTAGGGGATGAGGGAGGTGAGAACTGAAAATATCTTAAATGGATCCCCTCATAATTTTTCATTGAAATGCATTCATGATACTAGTTAACTGAAAGTACTTACTTGTTAAGTAGATAGATACGTATTTGTAGAAAATCTTGATAAATGGATTCTTCTGTCTAGAGGAAAAGTTCTCATAATTTTGTCTCCACAGTGCTAGAGAATTCCACCAAACATTCCAAGAATCAGAATATGCTGTCAGTCCCTAATCCAACCAACTACACTCACAACACGAGGAATAATACAGCAAGAGAAAATGTGGAGAAAGATAAACAAATTAAACGCAAACTAAAATCAGCCACTGTTAGCCCACCAAGTAAGTTTATTCTTTTAATTTTACATGATGATTTATGAGATGGGTGGGTTCATACAACATGAGAAGCTGTAGTGAAATCTTACTGTTGTGGGTCTGTTGTGTCATCTGGAACCAGTTCTGGAGTTCCTACGTGGTAGAATTAGTTTTTTGAAACCATGGAGAGAATTTATCATACACTCATAGAATAGTAGAGTTGGAAGGGGCCATGAAGGCCATTGGGTCCAACCCCCTGCTGTTGCAGGACACAATTTACACCATCCCACTCAGATGGCTGTCCAGTTTTGCCTTGAATGTCTCTAGAGCCCACAACCTCTCTAGGCAACTGGTTCCACTGCTGTTTTATGATCTGTTCTAAGGTTTCCATACTTCACTACAGTTTCACTGAACCTCTGGACCCAAGATTGCCATTTTACCATTGTTGGTATGAAAGACCATAGAGTCCTCCAGTAAGAGCAGCTGCAGAAGGCTGCTGTGTGGCATGTAGACAAGACTAGGAAAAGGATGGGGCTTTCACTCATGGGGGCTTAAAGGATGTGAGATGAGGCTGGGAGGCAGCAATGGGCAGTGATACTGCTGGCTGTGTAACCACATGATCATCTGACAGTCAAGTTTAGGCAAAAAAAATCACAGGATAAGGAAACAGCATAGGGTGGTTTACTGCACTGTGTGAACTGCGGTCAGTGTGTACTTAGAACTGCCTGCTTAAACTGATTGGTCTGTCAACTGAAACTCTAGTTCACTGTTTTCTAGGAACAACTTTTGATCAAACGGCAAATTTAATCTGTGACAATTTCAAATAGCCACCTATTAAGCAGCTCTCCACTTTATTTACTATTTAATGGTGCCTATATTAAGAATTTCATAGCAATGCAAATGTATTTAAATGTAATTTGTTAGCACAGAGAGCTAAACGTAACCCTCATCTGGAATACTGTGTCCAGTTCTGGGCACCAAGATTTAAGAAAGATGCAGAAAACTTAGAAAGGGTCCAGACCCTTGCCAACAAAAACAATCCAGGGTTTGGAAACACGCCTATGAGGAGAGACTGAGAGAACTGTGTTCAGCCTCAAGAAGAGAAGACTGAGGGAGGACGTGATGTCATTCCATACGTACCTCAAAGGCTGTCACAAAGAGGAAGGTCAAGATCTTTGTAGGACACAGAATAATCAAATTGTGAGAACCCAGGTTCAGGCTAGATATCAGGAAAAGTTTCCTCACTGTCAGAGCAATGTGACAGTGGAACCAGTTACCTAGAGAGGTCATGAACTCACCCGCGGTAGAGACATTCAGAAAGAAACTGAACAACTGTTATAAAGATTTGTATTGCACCTCGCTGGATATCCAGTTGGTCTCCAAACTGGATTTTTTCTGCTTTACCACATTGTGTACAGGTTCTTAGACTACCGTGGTGGCATAGGAGCCATAACAAAACTGCTTCTTCTCCCACTGCCACTGTAATAAGAAGCCCTGCCTTAGGTGGGAAATTTATGCTCTGCCTCTTCCTTGCCTCAGCATGGTCTCAGGCTTCTCACACTGTTTTGGCACAGGGAAGGAATAACCATAAGCTTCCCTGTGTTGTTAAAATTAACAATACAGTCTAAGAAATCAGAACAAGTGCGTGATTTATAGTACTCTTGGGAGAAAATAGGGTTCATATAGCATAGCAAGGACCCTCATCTTGGTGGCTTTTTCAGAAGTGAAAGTATCCTCCTTCCCCTGCAAAGCAGTTTCCAGGCCTTCCTTTCAGATTTACTGGAAACTGGTGCAGTGCTTAAAGATAGATTGAAGTCAGTGTCTTCTTCCTTAAGAACCACATATGTATCAAGACTAAATGATGCATCTTTGCCCATCTGACTAACAAGATAGCACCCAGAAATACATGCTAGAGGAAGAGTGCCACTTGTTTCCTTCTTGTGTAACATAATGGCCATGGAAGGCTCTTTGCTATGAAGCTGTTTTGCCTTTCTGTTGCTCAGCTGATTTGCCCACTTTGGCTGACTTAGCTTTTCTTGGTGATACCACAGTTACCTGTGTCCACCACTGAGGCACCTTTTTCCTAGTCCTGCTAGGCAGCTCAGGGAAGCAGGAAGGGGATGTTTGTGCTTTGAATGAGCATCTTGTGGTATCCTTGGTATGAAAAAATGAGTTGGGTGGGCAAGTTGAATATGCCAGCTGTCTGGGAAGTAACACATTAAAAATATGAGAAATTGGTCCCACTTTTAGCATGTCGAGTCTGTCTAGTCGAATTTTATATGGCTTCCCGACATGTTGGTGTCTGATTGGTGCAAGTGTGAAATGAGGTCATCCTATGACCTATAACTGAGGTTTTCCAGAATGACATACTTAGTTGAATACTTAGGAGAAGGAAATCCTCACCCACACAAACGTTAAATTTTAAATATAACTGAGCCTGTAAATATAACTGAGCCAGTTATATTTAAAATTTAACTAAAATTTTAAATATAACTGAGCCTGTAATGGTGTCATACTGTTCATGCAAAGAAAATGGCTGATGTTACCCTGTCTTTGTAGCAGATTGCAAGAATAATTCCATGGTTTTGGCATCAGGAAGCATCCAAGTTAATGGACATGGGGGACAATCTTCAAAGCCTGTGTTTAAGAGGGGTCCTGGGAGGAAACCCAAGATTGAGACTAACAACAGTAGCTGTGAAGTGGTGCACAAGAAAAGAGGGAGGAAACCAAAAAACCTGTTAATTGCTCAGCAAAAGAATTCAGGGCAGAGTACAATCCAACCTGCTAAAGACTTAAAAACAGAGGAAGCATCTGTTTCTACTGCATGCAACTCTCTTTCTGAAAATAATGTGAAGGAAGACTTGTTACAGAGAAAAGGGCGTGGAGGCAGAAAGGCTAAAAGAAAGCCACCAACACAACAGCCAGAATTGGAGGATACATTTTCTGCAGACCCTAAGATTCAGACAAGAAGCAGGAGGAAAAAGTCAGATGGACCCACTGAAGAGGAACCTGAGGAGTTTAAAGATTCTGAACCTCACATGAGAACTAGAAACCAGGGTAGGAGGACTGCCTTTTACAATGAAGATGACTCAGAGGAGGAACAAAGACAGCTGTTGTTTGAAGACACCTCTTTGACTTTTGGGACATCTAGCAGAGGCAGAGTCCGAAAGTTGACTGAAAAAGCAAAGGCTAATCTGATTGGTTGGTAACTTTAGCATTTAAAAATGCTAATAAATAAGGTACAACTGATGAATTAGTAGAACTAAGGATATCTGCTTTCTGCTGCTATTTACAAATGAGAATATGTTCTGATTTGGAAAAGGATAGCAAAAACTGAACATTTCTTTGAAAGAAGTATGTATTTTAAAAGTTTGCTATTTATTGCCCTTCGAGTAGGTTATGCATTTCAATTCATTTTGTTCAGTTGGTATCAAAGATTGTATAAATGACATTCTTGATTTGCAGAAAACTTACTGTAATTTTGAACAGTACGTAACCTCTATTTGATTAAAATAATAGAATTTTTAATGTAACGGACTGAAAACAGAACTCCTATTTTTGAATGAGCAAGGTACAGTACCTTTGTATAGAGTTTTAGTAACTGTGTTTTTCAGGCTCTTAGCAGAGTATGGCAGGGACTGCCATTGAGGACAAACACAGGATTACCAAACTTTGCTAATGATAACATTTGATTCAATAGTGATTGGGCACACAGCTTTGTACAAACAAATGTAGTGCAGGTTGTTTTATCTAGGTTCTGCCAGAGAGAGAAATCACAATATATAGTTATATATATCTATATACCTATATAAATATATCCACATTGGAAAAAGTTTGACTAATAAGTCTAATTTTTCAGACCCTCATTCTTGTATCAATCAAATCTGTTTATTGTGCCAAAGACTGAGAATCGGTGCAGTGGAAAAGTTTTGAGTGTCAGTGCAGCATACAGTTTTCAATTATGCTTATGACTCCATGTTCAAAATATACATTGTTCTAAAAAGTTATCTCTACTTGTACTTCATAGTAAAAACAGTTAATGCACTGGTGGATTCCTTTGATTTAAATTTAGACAAAATTTATAATTGAGTTAAAGAGTTCAAGGAAACTGCAGGAAAAGTGTGAGATTCTGATGTTTACGTTATGGTCAGATTGATTTATTGTTTCTGTGAACTATGTTAAACTGACTAACATTTCAAAAGAAGTGTATGTGTATATCTATATCAAGTATGTACACAAGCACATAAATATATTCAATGTTACCCAGGTATAATTTTTTCAGATTTTTTAGATAGTACTAAAATATTAAGAATTTTAAAATGTCATACTTTAATTTTAAGGGGAAGATTGGTTATTTTCAATTATTAAAGATAAAAAGGCCAAATCACTTTTTATGCAATCATGTTTTATACAGTATTCTCATTGCACATTGTTTTTCTGCACTTTTTACAGTATACTTATCAAGCTGACATAAGTCAATATACATCCTAAAGGAAAATCCCACTTTATGATTGTGCCTTGTATTCTATTATTTTGTGCATCTTTAGTAAGACTTAAGTTGTCTATTGTAAATGATAACTATATGACTTAGGGGAATGTATTGCTGTATGTACTGCTATGGGAAAAACCAGTTATTTATTTGTTTATGGTACATTTACTTATTTTATACCTTTAAAACAAACTTTAATACATTTTTATTGTTTAAAAGTATACTTCAGTTTTAAAGACAAAATACATATTAAGACAGTTGCATGGTACAAAAATGTAACCACGTTTTAACATATATGGGGGAAACAAGATGTGCAAAACGGAGTTGATTTTAAGCACCCTGGCCTGTGGTGGTGTGCGGCAGTGCACTGCATCTGTGCTTGCCTACCTGTCCAAAAGAAAGTTGATGCTGTCAACTTAACCAGTGCAGTTGAAGGGCGACCTTCCATGCGTCCACCAGTGGTAGGTGAGAGAAGGAGCTGAATTAATTTTTCTACCCCTCCGAATAGATTATTGGTTGTACCAAAGATTGTGGTACTGAACTTCTGTATGGTGCTAAATGCAGGGTTTCCAGTCCAATTTTGAGAGGTGCAGGTAGATTCAGCCATAGGAGCTGGCTTTGTAACACCCTTCTGTGCACACAATTCAGATATACGAACAAGACAGATAACTTGCTCACACTATTAGGCATTTGAGGGGTAAGGCTAACACTCATCGCGAACATCGCAAAAGTTCAGTCATGACAACTGGTTCTTAAAATGCATTTCTGCTTTTTTATTACAAATAGTCATAAGCATAAAATTACTAACTCTTAGTAGAAGGTAATCATCACCATAAACCCACTTTAGGATATGTGGGGCATGGAAGATTTTACTTTGGTTGATTGCTTAACTGCAGTTGCCCATTCCTATGTTTTTAAAAATGTAATTTAGCATTTTTAAGAAAGCTGAACTATTTTGTATAACTTTGTTTAAAATATTCAGCTAGTGACTTGATCCCAGTGAGACAACAGCCCACTATGAGGTTGGGCACTGCAGTGTGCATTATGAATGTAAAAGCACCAGATGGGTCTTGGTGTGGCTTGTTGTGTCAGCCAAGCCTAGGTCATGGGTGTTATTTGAGGGCTAAGTCCACTGTCTTGTTTTAGGGTTATGTGGTTATACTACAACAAGCCATGGCAATTCCCAGCCACAGTATGCATATTCAGAAGAGCAGCTAGCACACACCACAGCCCTTATAGCTAAATTTACCCATGGTAAGCTGTTGGGTTGTGCAGATGGGCCCACAATTTCACCAAATTGTGAAATACAAGGCAGTCTTCAGAATGCTACTGGCACAAGTCCCCTCTGCAGATCTATTTTCATTAGTATTTAAAAATAGTACATGACATGCCATAATGTTTTTTAAAATGAGTTTCTTAAACAGAACACATACATACTCATATTCCAGGCATTAAACTTGAAACCATGAAGAGGGACTATGTAAAGTAACAGTTGTTTCAGATTTCACAATAAATACATTATCTTATACCTAAACTTTTCACTGTTTAAGGAGGCAGTCGATTTCAGATGTCTGATTTCCTGATTATCTGCATTGTAATATATAAAAAAATCAAAGCAATCATGAAACTTTATTGCTGTAGCTACTCCATTTAAAACTGTGTCTCACTTGGCATGTTTATGTATATACTTATATACAACCAATATGTGTTATGTAATGTTGGAGAATGGAATAGTACACCTAACGATCATAGTGTCTGAAAATTACACATTTCAAACTGCAAAAATCAAGCGTTTTATTTGCAGCAAACAAGTGTATTTCCCCTCCCATGAATAATCTGTACTGGTTCTAAGAATTATGTTGACCTTACTATTTTTTCAATAATTCATTTTTGTAAATTGGCTTATAAAACTGTTGCTGTGCTAGATTTTCTGAATAAGTGATTCAGGTTCCATTGGCTTGACTTAAATTACTGTCCATAGTTGGATTTGACTGATTTGCAAAATTCTTACTGTACCAAAACAGAAAAGAGCTTTTTACCTAGCACATTTTAATATGAGCAATAAACACTGGTTCAGGAATGTTGTGATGGAAAAATAACTATAATGAAATGTGTTCTGGATAATGCTATTTCAAACAAAATGTAATTTTATGGCATATTTACATGCGAAATACCACTTAAATGCCATATCTGTTGGTAATTATGGCTGCTCACACAAGCTGTTATCTTGGAAACTTGGCAGTAATGAGAACAAATGTCAAATGTGGTCTTCTGATACAGGGTGGTCCATTAGTTCCATAATGTTTGTTAAATTAATACAATATTAACCAATGGTTAGTACACTTTGGTATCTTAATAGCAGAGCATTCCATGTTATCTAGGAAAGAATTTGTTTCTCACTTCAGTAATAGCAATCCTCCCATTTCTTGTTTGATAAAGCATTGGTTAGCAGGTTTTGTTTTTGATGGTTTCCCAGGAATTAAGTTTGAATGACATTAGTAAAATATTGGGTATTGAACCAATGATCTTCATTGTGCTATGAGTGGTGATGCAGCTTTACAAGATCTGTCTTCCTATAGTGATTAGACCGTTATGAGGTAAACTTGCACATTATTTGTACCATACTGTCAATGAGTGATCATTCAGTTGTTAAGTTAGTATTACTTTGGATGAATCTTTGTAATATACTGTTTAAAAAGAACTCATGCAGCATGAAGTACTTATTCTTTAAAAATAAATGGGCACATATATGTATTTTAAGTAGATATGTCATGTGCTGTGTTCCAATACAAAGACCTGGTTTGGATGATTAAATAACCCATGGTTGGTTAACTGTGGATTGTTTGCAAGCATTCAGGAGCAAGAAAATATGCTAGCTCCCAACCATTCATCTACTTCTGCTTGGCTTAGCAACCCAGAAATTAGCCATTTCTGGGTTGCCATGACACCTGAACTAGTACTCTGGCTTCTTGTGGGAGAAATAACCCAGAGTTTTAACCCTCTAAGAAATAATGGGTTAAAACTTGACTAGTTTTCCGGATCACGGCAAACAACCCAGAAATGGGACATTTCTTTGTTATTTAGCCAAACCAGTAGAGTAGGCAAGTGGTCAGTGCTAGCATGTCCGCTTGCTCCTATGTTCACAACCTATGGTTTGTTAACCAAGGGTTGTTAGATAGTGCAAACTGGGAAAATGTAACAATGTGGACTTTCCGTATCACAAGCTTTAGTATGTCTTGTTACTTATCATAGTTATAAACCCCAGCCAGAGCTCCATGCCCATGCAGCTCTTGAATACTTGTTTCTGTGAAGAGAGCAGATTCCAATGTGCTGAAGAACATGCATCCTCAGCTTTGAAACGAGCTCATTATTTTCCTTAGTGTTCTATCTAATGAAGGGTTCGGGCACAATCCAGGTTGTGCTTTGAAGAGCAGTGCATGCAGGAGTTTGATGCCCCGAATTTCTCTCTCCCCATCAGCAGTCCTTCCACAAGTGGAGAACTGCTCTTGTGTGACAGCTGCATGCCTCACAGTGTATGTAAGGGACTGACTGGATCAGGCTTCTACTGTACACTCTGATGTATGTCTTAATCTTGCACTTCATATAGTTGGACCTAAGCATTCATCTGATAAAAGGGCTGTTTAGTTTCTGCTGTAAATAATGTACATGTATGTTTATACTTTTTAAAAAACGGTGTACATTTCATATATAGTGGCCAAGTCTGGAAATTATTTCTAATATAACAAAATTTGGTATTGCATTTTTAATGTGTTAACTTTACATAATTTGTATTTTAATCAAGATTTTTGATTACTATTGGAAAAATTGTGAAGCAAAAAAATTGCTTAGATAGCTCTCATACTTTTTCCTGTTCAGAATAGAACATTTTGGAATAGAAGGTACCCTCTGTTTCAGGAAGGTTACATTTATTGGGTGACATCCAACATAACATTAGTATAGAACTTCTTAGCACAGGTGTTGGATCATTAGCGGTTTTGGTTGTGCAAGCATAACTCAAATGTTGACTTTGCCTGTAACACATAGTTGACAACAGTTTCCACTACAGAAGAGTTTTTGCACTAGTGGACAGATACCATTGGATACAACCCATTATAGATTTTTGGGTTTTTAAAAACAAATAGAAGAGACAGCATTTTGATGGCAGCAGTAGCATTAGCTATGCTGTTAAAAAGGCCAAGCCCCAAATGTAAATAATTTAGGAGCCATTTATGTCTAATTAAATGCAAGTAATCACTTTTTTTGGTATACAAATAAGCAAATGCTCAATACTGGGATGTTTTTAAAAATGCAAATAATTGCATCAGGAACTCAGAAATCATTTTTACGTGCATAAAAATGGCTAAAAATTCACCTTAAAAGATAAAATAGTAAATTGGTAGCCTTATACAGAAAGCATTTTACATGGTGTATGTATCAAGTCACACATTTAAAATGTCTAGGCTGTTGACACACAATTGAACGTTACATTTTTGGACCACAACACTGCAAGTATCTGAAAGGTTCTTGAGTAAATTCTTAAATTCCTGCCACTTAAAATGTTGAGATGTATAATGTAGAGCAATTTACGGAAATTGTTTGGAACATCTTATCTTTGAAACTGACACATTTTAAAACTATGTTTTTTGGGGGGGTTTGTACAGTATGATGTAAATCCCAAACATGACATACAGTTTTACAATAATTTTTGGTTAAATCAAGTTTAATTTCTCTTAGAAATCTGCTTTATCATGTTATGAAGTGCAGTCTCACCTGGATGAACAGTGCCCTTTCTTTTTGTAAATATTGATTGAAACTTTTATTGTTATGTGAAACACCTATGTGGGTTTTGATGAATAATACTTGGAATCCTTTTATACAAACTAGAATGTATGTGTAAGAATTACTGTCACTGCAATGTAGTAACTACAAACCTATTTTTAAATAAATAGAAAACTCGTTTTTCTAAGCTATGTGTTTCTGTCATTGTCATGTGTGAATTCTTGAGGAAATTAGCAATGACTTGAGTTCTGCAGAATTTTGGTGGTAGTGGAGGAAAAGGCAGTCATCCAGTTTTCCCTCTTCCCCTTCACAGTAAGCAGCGTTTACTTCTCATGCTGTGCTGATGGGTTGGGGAACCCCACCCCCTTGCTGCATAGTGTGAGGCTGGCAGGAAGAGAACTTGTCTTACACCCTTCCTCTAGTAGAAAGCTTCTGCTGGATACCAATGTTATATGAAAACAGAAGGAAGCCTGGGTTAGAAGGGCAGCTCTGGATTCTACGTAATAGGCTCCTGTGCACTTTTTAAAATCAAAGTGAGTAAAATATAAGTACTGTATAAATCAGCATATGAGTTGTAAGATATGGTCAATATTTTGGGATGTGTATGTGGTGTTCGTCTTATGACTGGCATATAAGACAATTCCCAATTATTGCTTTGCTATTTTTGGTTTCAAGGATCATTTTATATGGTAAATGACTGGCTAAAATGCAATACTTTTGCTAATTAAACTGGTTCATTTGACTCCCATCCTTAGATATGTTCATGTAATACAGCTTTACAAATACTGTTGGCCCTGTTCACACACAACAGTGGCAAATTGGACTAATTTAGTCCATAACGACCTGCTACATTCAAAGGTGTCATATAATTAAGCTCCGCACAGCCCAGTTGTACATTGTATAATGTGTGAACATATATACTATTGGTTATTCATAGGTTAAACAATTCAAAAGTTAATGTATGAATTAATCATAGATGAACTTTAGATTGTTTAAGCCATGTACAAACTTCCTCTGAATTGTTAGATGTCTCACAAATACATGTGAATCAGGCAGATTCGAAGTTGTGCAAAATGAAAGTCACTTGTACATAGCTTGTTACCCAGCAAAGCATAGCTTAATCAACCTATGATTTCTACCATTATGTGCAAACTATGTCATATCAATCTGGATTGGTGAGAGCACTTTTTTGTATTTTACAGACTGGTAGTGACAAACCTAATACAGAATAATTTCCATATTGGGCCAAGAGAATGAAGAACAGGACATACAAAGCATGTTCTTACTAGGACAAGCTTTGTCTACTTGCACTGGGATGCAATCTACCAATACATTAATGGTTTCCTAGAATCAGTATTAATGATGAATATAGGCAACACCTATATTCTGACAGTATCCACTCAGTTTTTAAAACCCACATAAATCCTTATTAAAACCCACATAAATCCTCTCTCAATTGTGCCCGCCTGGGTGTCTGTCCAGCACCAGTCATGTCCGAAGGGGGGGGGGGGTCACTTTAATTTACCAAGCTTCTATTCTCCTTGCAGGGCTTCTTGTTCTCTCGAGACCAGGTCTAGAGTGCTTATAGCTGGCATTGGGTGACTGAGATGTTGGTGTACTGTGCACCCTTCTGCCCATCAGACTGCCTGAGCTGATGGAGATAATCTCAGACCTGGTGTTGAAGACCCCCAGGATGTTGGTCCTGGGGGACTTCAATCTCCATGCTGAGACTGTTCTGACTGGGTTGGCTCAGGACTTCATGGCCTCCATGACGGCCATGGGGCTGTCGCGACATGTCACTGGCCCGATCCATGAACGTGGTCACACACTGGACCTGGTTTTCTCGACAGGGCAGGAAGAGGGTGATCTGAGGGTGAGGAATTTGTGTCTGATTCCCTTGTCATGGTCAGATCACTTCCTTGTGAGGTTTGAGCTCAAAGCCGGCCTTTCCCTCTGTAAGGGTGCGGACCCTTTTGTGATGGTCCACCCTCAGAGCCAGATGGACCCGTATGGATTCCTGAAGGCTCTGGGGGATTTTCCAGTTGATAAAGCTGGCACTCCTGTTGATGCTCTGGTTGAACTGTGGAATGGGGAAATGGCCAGAGCAATTGACCCGATCGCTCCCAAGCGTCCTCTCCTGCCAGGCAGAGCCCGTCCATCCCCATGGTACACATCTGAATTATGGGTGATGAAGCGGGTTGGAAGACGTCTAGAGCGTAGGTGGAGGAAATCACAGGATGAATCTGACTGAACATGCCTATGAGCTTACTATTGAGCCTATGCTGTGGCGGTGAGGGCAGCAAAGAAGAAATTCTTCTCCACTTCCATTGCTTCCTCACAGTGCTGTCCAGTGGAGCTCTTTCAAGTGGTACATGGACTGATACATCCTGGCCCTAAGAAAGATCCCGTACCACCTTCGATGGCCCGCTGTGATGACTTTGCCCAGCACTTTAAGGAGAAAATCGCTCAGATTCGTCACAAGCTGGACTCCACAAGTGATTCAGATCCTTTAGGGGAGATGCCAATGACTCCGTCTGGTCAGATATTAATGGATGAATTCCAGTTATTGTGGCCCAATGACGTGGACAAGGTGCTTGGACAAGTACATTCCACCACCTGCTTACTTGACCCTTGCCCTTCTTGGCTGCTGAGCAAAGCCAAGCACAGGATTGGTGCCTGGATCCAGGAGGTTATCAACGCCTCTTTTCAGGGAACAGCTGGGTACCCGCTCGTTTAAAGGAGGCGGTAATCAGGCCTGTCCTGAAGAAGGCATCCCTGGATCTAGAGATGGCCACCAATTATAGACCAGTGGCCAACATCCCATTTTTGGGCAAGGTGTTGGAACGGGTGGTGGCACGACAACTCTAAGCAGTCTTGGATGAAACTGGTTATCTGGACCCATTTCAGTCCGGCTTCAGACTTGGGTACAGTACTGAATCTGCTTTGGTTGCCCTGTATGATGACCTGTGCAGGGAGAGAGACAGCGGGAGTGTGTCCCTGTTGGTCCTCCTGGACCTTTCAGCGGCTTTCGATACCATCGACCATGGTATCCTCCTAGATAGGATGGAGGGATTGGGAGTAGGAGGCACTGCTTGGCAGTGGTTCCGCTCCTATCTCAATGACCAATTCCAGAAGGTGGTGCTTGGGGACTATGGCTCTGCGCCATGGCAGCTAAGCCATGGAGTACTGCAGGGTTCCATTTTGTCCCCCTTGCTATTTAATATCTACATGAAACCGCTGGGAGAGGTCATCAGGAGGTTTGGGCTGCAGAGTCATCAGCTCTACCTCTCTTTTTCAATCAGGCTGTACTGAACCAGTGCCTAGTCTAGGTAATGGGCTGGATGAGGGCCAATAAACTGAAACTCAATCCAGACAAGACGGAAGTCCTGCTGGTGGGTGGATCGAGCTCCTGGGTAGGTGACTTGGGCCTTGCCCTGGACGAGGTTGCACTCCCTCTAAAGGACAGGGTCTGCAGCTTGGGAGTGCTCCTTGACCCGGAGCTGTCCTCAAGTGACTGCGGTGGCGAGGAGCGCTTTCCTTCAGCTTCGGCTAATCTATCAGTTGCATCCCTACCTGGAGGAAGATTGCCTAGCCACAGTGACACATGCATTGGTTACTTCCTGGTTGAATTTCTGCAACGCGCTCTAAGTGGGGCTGCCCTTGAAGACAGTCCAGATACTGCAGATGGTGCAAAACAGAGCAGCCAGGTTGCTGACGAGGACTGGGCATTATTCTGATATAATCCCAGTCCTCTATCAGCTTCACTGGCTTCCCATCGAAGTCCAGGCTCAATTCAAGGTGCTGGTCATTACCTATAAAGCATTTAACTTGGGACCTGGATACCTAAAGGAACGCCTTCTTTCATATTTGCCCTCCTGCCCCCTGAGATCGGCAGCAGAGGCCCTCCTCCAGGAACTCTCCATGAAAGATATTAGGAGACAAAGTACCCGGAGGAGGGCTTTCTCTGTGGTGGCGCCCCGCCTATGGAATATGCTCCCCAGAGAGGTCCGCCTGGTGCCGTCGTTATTTGTTTTTCGGCGCTAGGCTAAGACCTTTTTATTTCAGCAATATTTTAATAAGTTTTAATATCATGACTTATATGTTTTATTGCAGCCAGTGTGGGTCTATAATTTTGTTATATTTTATTGTATTTTAGTTATGTGAGCTGTCCTGAGGCTTTCGCGACAGGATGGCATATGAATACTTTGAATGAATGAATGAATGAATGAATGAATGAATGAATGAATGAATGAGTAATCCACAAAAACTGCCTCTTCCATTTTGGGAAACTTAAGGAAACATTTAGGATTGCACGTAACAAGGCAATAACTAACAATGGAGAAATGTTACTGTTTATCTAGGATCTAGAGTCTAGGTGAATTAGGGGTTTTTCTCCAAGCAGAGTAAGACCATGATACTATATAAACTTGCCCGGGAGTATACTCACATTGACTGCTATGAGATTTACCTCTAAGAAGTAGACCTGTGTAAGATTGCAATGCAGTAGTATAAAGCCACTACAAAACAATTTTGCTTTGTAACCTTCTTTGAGGTCAATCATGCTTCAGATTCTACACCTGTATTGCTTTTCTTGCATAATTCTTGATATTCTGGAGTTAGCATTCATGATTAAATTTCAAGAATTGTTGCTGGTACAGAGTGTGCATGTGTACAGTAGTCTTTCCTCTTTGGATTATTGTCAGATTTTCAACCAGCTGCACAATGCTACTTGATACAAGGAATGCCACCATGATATATGAGTGTATTGGGCAGACTCTATAAATTACATCTAATACTATTAGTCCAAAAGCAAGGGAGGTAATTTTCCAGAAATTAGCATTTGTCTGGTGAATATGGGGTTTGAAAGAGTAACCACACATTTAAGAAAATGCACAGTGGTACCTCAGCTCATGAATGCCTCAGTTCACGACCAAATCGGGTCACGAACAGAAATTTCAGAAAAATTTTGCCTCAGGTCGCAAACTCCGCATCAGGTGATGATCACGATTGCACCCGTCTTCCCTGCATGAGTGCAACCATGATCACGCTTGGGGGCGGGTGGCCACAGTTGCACTCGGGGGGGGGGGCATGTAATCACAGTTGTGCTGTGGGTGGGGGGGAGATGGCAGTGATCTTCGTTGTTCTGTCACTTTGCTTCAAATTTTTGTGATTAAAAATATAGTTTCAGAATGGATTAACCTTATTACATTGAACCTCATGGAGAAATTTGACTTGGCTCACGACTGAGTTGGGTCGTGACCAGAGTCGTGGAATGGATTAAATTCGTGAGCCAAGGTACCACTGTACTTTTTGAAGTATTCCTAGCGTTGGAATATGAAATTAGAGATGGGACCTGCAACAAAATGTTGTGGTGTGAAATGTACCATTCAGTTCTAGCCAGACATGCCCTTTTCTGTAATATTACATCCCCCTGCCCGTTTTTATTCTCATCTTTGCAAATCTTAGGATTCTTTCAATATGGATGATACCCCTTTTTGTGCATAAATGATGCTGTTTTGACGACAGAATTCATAGGTAGGAAAATTAAATTGTGTGGGGAGTGGATGACTCCTCTTCACCCAACCTCTGCAGTTCATAATGATGCCGAAAGGGAAAGGCCAGTGTGTTCCGATACTGTCCGGTCCGTGGGGTGTGCACTGGAAGGATGATGTGTGCATGCACTTTGCTGCAGGTGAGGTTTCTCCACTGGAGGAGGCCTTGTACATAATCAAGCTGATTTACTTGTCCTGTGCCTTCTCCCACTGGGAAAAGGATGTGGAGCAGCTGACCCTTTGCAGCTTGGCTTCATTCATCCTTTACCTCTTCCACAAGGAAGTCACAAGATGAGCAAAGGCTACCTCTTCTGTGTTTGAAGGACCTTGTGCAAGCACCAGATGAGAGCACTGTCTGGCTATGCTTGTTTCATGAGCAAGGATGAGCTCCTGCTCCAGTCACTGACTTAAGGATAACAAGAGCAGTCCTCTCCCTACCCTCCAAAGCCTTTGGCAACCTCTAGGCCAGAGAGTGGGGCTTGTGGATGGAAGGGGTCTGCAGAAGTAACTTTTGCATTCCAGGAGTTGCTCACTCATGGCACAAATGTGAGAGGGCTTTGTTTTTTATATTGGACAGTGCTCTGTATCCTCTACAGAGTAGAATAATGAGCAGTGCAATATTAGTGAACATCACTAGAATTGGCGATGGATATACCAATTAGCAGGCACAAAGAGGAGCCCCTTTGGTTATGAGTGGTCCTCACTGCAGTGCTTGCCCTGTTTTTGTCCTGTGGTTGTCATATAGCTAGCATGCAGCATGAAAATGCCTCCTCAGCCCATCAGTTGTGGCCATCAAGCTGACTATCATGTGCACTAAAAGGTAGTGGCTGTCCAGAATTCCATCCAAGCTCCCTCCTAGTTCTGTCCATAGATGCAAGATACTGAACCTGACCTCTTTTGGAAAGTATCCAAGTATTCAATATCGAGTGCAGCTGCTGCCAGCAGAGTAGGACTGAGTAGACTGGAGGCATTTTTTGCCTCTTCATCCTCCTTTTTGGATGTTTCTTCTAGTTGAGCCTCTAAGCCAGTCTACAAATAGCATACTGCTAGGGCTGGAGACCACAGGATTTCTCATATGGCAGCCTCTCTGCCAACCAACAGAATAGTCCTCTTTGCCTTTCCTTTGAGGCAAAACAGCCAGATCAGTTCTTCCTGTATGACCTGTGAGAAGCGGGGGGCGGGGTGATCAGAATAGAATCCTCCTGGTTAGGTCATAGCAACATCTATGGCTTTGGGAGATGGATTCTTATGTTCCACAGGATGGGACTTAAAGATTGCCATCCTCCAAATCCACTGTGATAATAGTCAACAGCAGGCACCAAGAGAGAATAGATTCTGAAGAGCATAGGCTGTGCATTCACTGTCCTTAAACTATTTTTTCTAAAAGTAGTTGGACAATCCTGTGAGGTCATGGACTAAAATAGTGGTAAGGATATAGTGAAATTGCAAGACATCTTGGACTTCAAATCGTATCAACCCAAGCCAGGAAAGATAGAACTGTAGTCTTACAACATCTGAAAGGGCACCAGATCCCTATATCTGCTTTATGGTGTTACCCAACTATCTATTGCTCAGCTAGTTATGAAATCAGTAAGTGGCATACACATGGTCTTCACTATATGTTGTGATAATGCAGGATAGTTACAGAGTACAAATGGAAAAAGAAACTCAGCTTTCTTTTTTAAAGAGGCATTTTCTAGCTCTTAGTGCTGTAAAGATATCCTTGAAAGTGCAAGGAATTATGTGGTTCCATGCTTATTGCTTCTCTGACCCCAACTAGCAAAATCAGTCTGTCCGAAAACAATCAAGTGCAGAATAAAATAAGCAAACTTTGTCTAGTTCCTGTAAGATGCAGAATTGCAAGGCATTTTTAAAAGCAGAGATTACACAGAGAACATTTTAAATAAAAAGACCTACAGCTTTTTAAATAAACAGTACTTTTGGTACACTTTAAACACACTATACATTCCTTATTTAGGGAAAGAATTAATGTATAATTCACTCTGGACAGTTGGCCCACATTCCTACACCCTGGAAACATTAAACAAGCTTTCACAGTGAGGCAGCTTTACAGTATCTCCAGCCCTTATTTCATTCATTATTTCCTTATTTATGTTGAGGAAATTTTTTCATGTCTGTTGGTTCAGGATCATTCCTTTTTCCTGTGAATGGTGAGCTATTCTTGATATCCAAGAAAGTTTTTCCTTTATCTAACCCCAACAATACAGATTTCCTAGATTATATTAAGAGAAGTAGTTAAGGAATCTTGTCTAGCCAATTATAGCTACTGAGATTAAACATTGTCAATGTTGAAACAATTCACTAGGGTGTGTTGATAGAATACAAATGTATCAGTCACACAGTTGTTCTATTTCTCTCCCTCCCTGCTCCAAAGTCAGTTTAAGTTAGGTGTGCTCTCTCACAATATGCAATGGTTGCAGCTAAATAATTGAACAATATCTTATACCAGAAAGGGAGCATCAGCTGCCCCCTTAATGCTGTTACGAATCAAAACTATTTTAAATATATTATATACAAGTCCTAAACAAACTTAAAAGAAGACTAGGATAAATCGATTGTATAAAGAAAAATACTTTATAAAAGAAGTAACAACTTGCTTTGGATCTTGATGTCCAAAGATAAACTGTTCTGGAAGACAAATGTGTGAATACCAGTCTTTCAGGTCTTGAAATAATCCATACAAATAAGGGCCCCTACTTGACATAATAGGAGCCAACTTGCAAGTTTACCTTTCAGGTAGCTAACAGGTAATTTCTCAGCAAAGTTGATGAGTAATGCCCAAAAAAGGGAGGAATCTACTACAAAGGAACTGAGCGAATCTCAGAGAGAACTTGCCTTGCTAAAATATTTGCAGGAATGAATACATCAACCAACTGTCCCTTTAAAATCAGCATATTTAGCATTTTTCTGCTTATTGTACTGCACTTGTAAGTAAAGAACTTCATTTTCTGCTAGTTTTGCTCTAAAAGCTTTTTTTCTAATGTAGCAAATGAAAGGTAAATTATACCATTCTCAAAACATGATAGAAGGTAAGTAAATTGTCAGACTCCAATTGTATAACAAGTTCTTATTTGATCGCATTATTAGCAGAGAACTAGGGACTGGATCCAGATTTGTCCCCTTATAAATGGAAGGGCTAGTTTTGTTCACACAGGAAACCAGGATCCTGCAGATACTTCCTGCTGAAGGAAAGAGTCAGGTAGCAATACTCTCACCTACTTTCCCCTGCAGCTTGTTTGAAAAGCTCTTCTGGAGGGTTCCCTCTGGAACAGCATGGGAGGTAGTGCTTAGGAGCTTCATGGGGAAGGGGAAAGAAGAGAACATTGCAATCTAGCTCTTTTCCTCCAGAACTCTGCTGAGCACAAGTCTAGATCCAACTGAAGCCAGGAGGATTCTGGCTAAGCTGTATGAAAGTGAAGAAGGCATTTCCAAGTAAGGGAGAGAAAAATTATCATAAGCCCCTTAACTCAGTGGCTCACTCCCATTCTGTGGAGGGCAGGAGTGGTGGAGAACAAAACCCCTGTTCTCCTCACCTGCACTCTTCACTAGATGTAGTTGCTCAACTAGGTGGGACTCTTCAGAAAGGATGGGAAAGATGCTAGAGAGGCCTCAATATACATCATCTCCTGGATTCTCCAGTGTCCACCCCTCCCTACCCAATGTTCCCATCTCACAGGTCAAAGCAGCTGCCAGATGCAAACGGGGAAGAGGTGGAACTCTGATTTCTCATTCTGAGTATTGCCTCTGAGCTCAGACTGGAGAATCCAGAGTATCCTGACATCTCAGATGTTATGTAAGGGCCATAGGAATGCTTTTTCTGCTACTTTGCAGTACAAAAAGAAACTCAATTCAACATGAATGTTACTTTGGAAGTAGCATACCACGCAACAAAGAATTTCTAATAAAACAATTCTAGTAAATAGTATATTAAGTAAAAAAGCAATTCTATGTTAGGTTTTGGAATACACTAATTGGATCCAAACTTACTACTTGGTTCATGGAAGGAGCTTCTGTTCATGGAAGAAATCTTTTGTGAACACACAGGCTTCTTCAATAAGCAGAATTCTTCTTCCAAGAAAGGAGTGGTAAGTTCAGATCCAATTCACCAAATGTATTGCAAATGATGCCCAAATGCTCCTGTCAAATACAGTTTCATGACATCATTAAAACATATGAATAATATCATGGTCACTTTAATTTTCTTATCATGGTAAATCAGGTTGAATGTCTTGAATACCTTTCTTCCCGGAGGTAATCAAACTTAATTCGGGGGGGGGGGGGATCAGTTCACATTTAGAAGAGCTGTTTTTTTCCTCTTCCTTTCCCCCTTTATTTCAAACACAGCAAATATCCTTGAGGAAACATAGACAGTGGCATTTTGGAGTCTCTGTTGCAAACTCAGTGAATCTGAACAGTTGGTTATGTGATTTTCATGATGGCCTTCCCACTCCTTTACTTCCTCTTCTCTTACTAGTAAAGGCTTCCCCAAGGACTGGCCAAACAATTGGCAGACATCTTGAGCTTTTTGTCGGGCGCTCCCAACAGCAGCAAGACATACCTGCCGCCTGGAAAAAAAACAAGTTAGGAAGTTTAGCTAATTGAGCAACAGGCTGTCCATTAAAGCCTTTAAGCAGTGCAACAACTATTTATTTTATTAACTATGTATCCTGTTTTATAAAGTAAAAAGCCATTACAAAGTGACTTAACAGCACAATCTCATGCCTTGCTATTCAGAAGGAAGTCTCACTGAGTTCAATAGGATTTACTCTCAGGTAAATGTGTGTACAATTATAGCCTCAAGGTATCTGTAAACTACACATCAGTTATGTTATATGTGCAACCATTCCAATCCTTCCGTATTACTGATTATTTGGAAAGGCAGACTCTGAAAAAACTCAAAGCAATCCTAAGAGCTAGTTTCTGAATGTTTTTGCCCCCCCCCCCCCCCCTTTTTCCTTGTTTTAGATTGTAAACTTAAAAGCAGGAATTACTGTCCTAATCTAGACCCAGAACCGTTTTAGCTAAATAAAAGCTTTGAGGAACCCTTTAAAATAAGTATATACAAGGAGGGACCCAAAAAACAAAACAAAACACACACACACCCCAGGAATTATTTTCTGGAGTGCAGGCCCCTTGTAGTACAAGGGGTTTCCCCCACCAGATGAGTGTTCTAGGAACCCACCTGCATCAGCGTATCCAGCTGGGTTGTTGTAAGAGGCTGCATTCAGCTTCAGTGAGGGGTTTGGGGGTTTTTTTAGATTGTTTCAACACGTTTGCCTATTTCGTGATGGCTGATTTACATGAACAACGTGGAACGGTGAAATTTTGTTCAGCTGAGAGTTCTGCAGTTTTTGACAAAAAAAGCCACGACTCTTGTGCCCCACCCCGCATTTACCCAATTTTGTCCTGTGCAACCTTTGTTTTGTTTCCCTGGATAAAAAAAGTCCCTAAAGGGGAAACTTTTTGCTGATGTGGAAGAGGTGAAACAAAAAACGGCAGAAGCATTAAAAGGCATCAAAATCGACAAGATCAAAACCTGTTTTGAGCAGTGGAAAAAACAACTCGATAGGTGTATTGCATCAAACGGAGAGAACTCTGAAGGTGACTGAAGTCTGAACATGTAAAAATAAATACATGATTTTTTAGAAATAAATTCCTCTTTTTGGGGGTCCCCCCTCAGATGTAGAGCTGCACTAATTTCATAATCTCTTGCCAGGAAGTCCTTTTCTTTATCATTACGTACTGATATATATAGCTTGTTATCGAAGAGGAATATTCCCATTAATTCCCATAAATTCAGAACTTTTAGAAGAAAAAGCAGAAGGGAGAGAATCCCTGTTCAACCTTCTTACAGTCAGTGTTTCACACGGGGTATTATTTCCTCCTGACTTTCCAGCCAGTAAGGTGGGAGATGTGGCCTACTGCTGGGTGGAGAGTTACTTGCTTCCAGAGCATTATCAAGGCCAGCCATGAACTGCAGACACCTACAGGAAGAACATGTTTATACTACCTCTAATTTTCTTTGGGCTGAGCAACAAAGCTGCAGCTCACAGCACCATTACCAATTCTACTTAGGCAAACTCAGTTTTTGGAAAAAGAAGAAGAAAAAATAACTTACCGAAGGGCATCTAAAGTCTCCATAGTATGGTAAAAGTGAGCTGGGCTGATGATGACGGAACTATCCAGCTTCTCAACAAGAAAGTTACAAACATCTTGCATTTTCTCAAAATTACTGAATGTAATGCAGACCTGTATATGAAGGTAAAAAACCGGAAGATTCTTCTCCATGCCCCACTTATAAATGGAACAAAAATACATGATTAAAACATGCATTCCTTACTAGATATAAACTACTTGAAATGTTATGATCTAATATCAAAATATGAATTTTGGTATAATATTTTCATCCTACTGAATTCAATAGGAACTTATTCTGAGGATTGTGCAAGATGTTAGCCTATGTCAAAGAGCTGTGAGCTTGGTTCTGGGAACAATTACAAATTCAGCTGTGGGAAGGGATAGAGCAAGGGGAACATGTGCTCAGAGGTACACTGTTCTTTAATTCTTTAAGAGAATATACCCCTGCCTGAGCCTGTACTTAGCCGTTGGCTTCAGTTGATGATCTCAAGGTTCTAGTGCAAGGTCTGCAAGCCAGAGGTCTCATTTATTTTACTTAAAGCTTGTATATACTGTCCAACTACTAGCATCTTGGGACGATCTTCCTGCTACTCATACAGCACGGGGCACTGCTGCTACAGCTCTCTATGACTATTAAGAAAAATGATTAGAAGTACAACACCAAGTAGCTTATATGCAGATTAGAGCACTAATACCCTAAGGTAATGCAGTAAAACATCACTTGAAGCCCCCCCTAAGCCACAGTACATACAGGAAGTTAGTTTGCAGGAAGAAACATGAATCTTGGCTTTGAGACCCTCATATGCCTACAATATACAGGTGACTAGTCAGGCAGCACATTTCAAGCACTGTTTTTCATACAAGTACTAGTTTGTACACCTGCACAAACAACCTAAATTAGTATGAAGTTTTTTTCTTCAATACTGAATTGAATCTGAATAACTCTGGGCAGAAAAAAATAACCACTAGCACTCCACAAACGTATTATAGCACTTAATGTTGTATTATATTAACTGCATTACAACACTTAATGCTATAATACAGGGGTACTCAACCTTTTTGGAAAGGTGGCCACATTTGGGAAGAAAGAACCTGCTGTGGGCACCACCACAAATGGGCCCCATGAATGATGTGGCTGGGAGAGTAGAACTGGAAAGGGTCACTGCCTGACTCACTCAATCTTCTTCTGTCCATATAGTCCTTTTCCATGTACCTTTTCTTTTCATTCCCAGCCTTGAGCCTCATTTTAATTTTGTATTTGTAAATCAATGTATTTTTTTTGTATTTTTATATTTAATGGTAATTTATTATGTACTATTGTATTTCAATGTATTTTATCATGTTGTAAGCCGCCCCGAGGTTTCGGCAAGGGGCGGCATAGAAATGTTATAATAATAATAATAAAAATAATAATTAGATCTTTCCCTGTCTCTAGCCTTCTTTTTATCCTTACTTCCTATCCCCTAGTCTGATCTATCTCCTACTTACCTCCTTCATCTTGCTGTTTCTCCCCTCCCCACCTCTCTACCTTGCTGTTTCTCCCCATTCTTAGTCTGTCTTTCTCCTCTACCACTTTGTTTTCTCACTGAACAGCTAGAGGCAGGCTGAGAAACAGAAAATGTTAACTTTATTTAATAAGGGGGCAGGAGTGGAGAATTGAGGACATCATCAAAAGTACTCTTGCGATAAAAGGCAGAATTTATAGCAATTGTTATCTGTAAGGTTAGCAGAAGAACATCTTTGATTCTAATATTTGCTAAGAGGTTTTAATTTTAGGGACTAGTCAGAAAGGTTTCTACATTAGGCTGAAGCTGACAGGGAGCTTTCTTAAAAGATGAATGTTTAACTCCAAATGACAGGCACCTGAAGGTGGGGCACTATCCCTTGTTAAGAATGTGCACTGCAGCCTAGTTTCACACATCTCTAATAGCAAGGTTCATCCATTAAGTATACTTTCATGCCATGAAAATGTAAATTTTCCACCCTTATTTTACTAAGGTGCAAAAGGTATGCAAAAAGATTTTTCCAAAGATAGTGTAGTGGGTTAGTGAAACACTTTCAGATTAGATGAAACAATGTTTTTATCAAGATTATAGATTAGCTTAGTATAGCATAAATCAAATAGTAATTAACTGAACATGCTTTTAACCCCCATTTATTGGAGCATCTTAAATGATTTCATCAGCCATCAACAACATAAAATTAAAAATCTATGTCTAGTTGTTCTTTTGCAGAACAACTTCTACCAAAATTGACATAGTGTTAGAGATGTATTACCAATGCTGAAACTTATACTTGCCTCTGCTTCCATTTTATAAGCATTGTCTATTCTACTGAAGTTTTTTGTCACAGTTACATTGTTCTCCTAGAGAAAAAACACAGCAATTTAAATTACACTATTCAAAAGATAATGCTTCCTAGTTGTTGTTGTGTCCGACCCATCGCAACCCCATGGACAACATCCCTCCAGGCCTTCCTGTCCTCCACCATCCCCTAGAGTCCACCTAAGCTCACACCAACTGCTTCAGTGACTCCATCCAGCCACCTCATTCTCTGCCATCCCCTTCTTCTTTTGCCGTCAACCATTAGGCTCTTCTCCAGGGCGTCCTTCCTTCTCATTAGGTGGCCAAAGTATTTGAGTTTCATCTTCAGTATCTGGCCTTCTAAAGAGCACCACTGCTCATTCTGGTAACTAATATTTTAGTGTAGCAGCACATTTCAAAGCAAAAGTTAAATAGCTTAGGTTTAGTAACAATGAAAATGGGTAAGATAATAGGTATATACATTTTAGTTCATAACTAACTGAAGTCCCATTGATTTACAGTGCACACAGAAGTTTAAAAATTGTCATAAAACATGTCTTCAAATACTGTAGTGGTGGTAGCACCTTGAAACATATGATTTAACTTATAAAATTCTGATGATCTGCAAGTATGCTCAGTTTGAGATACAAGTTATACAAAACTGTATTCACATTCACACCAATAAAATACATTCAACTGACAGAAATGATTTTAAAAACACAATACCAACTTCATAGAGGATAAATATGTTTAAGTTTTACTACTATGTGATCAACATGAATTCAAATAATCAGGTACACACTGGCTAGTGCATTTTTACTTCAATGGGTATTAACTAAGATTTGTTTTGGTTGCTATTACACTGCATTTCTATCCTGCCTTTTCTCCACTAGTGAGGAACCCAAGGCAGCTTACATAGTTCCATTTTACTCTCACAGCAACAGCCCTGTGAGAGTAAAAGACTGGCCCAAAGTCACCCAGTGAGCTTCATGGCTGAGTGGGGACTAGGATCTGGATCTCTTGGGCCCTCAGTCCAGCACTGTGACCACCACACCAGTGACTCTATGTAATGTCTTTACTTTCGGTAATGGGAAAAAATACTGTCTCCATGTGGTCTTATGTATTACTACAACTTGGAAAGACTCAGGAGTTGAACATCACAGGGCAGAAATTAAATTGTGGCATCACTTTCCAAATGAAGCCTAGCAGAAAATTAATTTATCTCATTAACCAAGCATATGCCTTTATAAGGTATTAGGCTACCAATCAGTATATTTGACAATCAATTTGATTTTTCCCTTATTCTATTCTATACAAAGTAATCTAGACATTCTTGTTTCTTTAAAATAGAACAACTTGCCATGATCACCATCACAGAAATAGATGTGATAATAGTAAATATGCGTGGCTTTTATTTTTTTACTATAAAATGGTTGTTTTGCTCACACATGATTATGGCTACAGCATCAGGCTTCAGGGTTCTACTAGGAGACCCATTCAATTTCACTTCACTTTAAGAACTGAGTTTACTAGTTTTCCTCTCCCTTCCCTTTTTCTTGTGTACTGTCTTTTAGATTGTGATTTCGCAAGCAAGATTGCCATGTTATTTTACAGATCTTAGATATACTCCGGGATGAGACGTAAAAATGTACCACATAAATATATAAAATAAATATTTTCAAGATACATGTTTCAGTTTCATAAAAGGAAATCTTTTGCATACTAAATAATCTGCTCAACCTTCAAACCCATGTTCTAAGAAATTTATGGGAAGTTCACTTATTAGATACACAACAATTAAGAGAGATAGCTTATATTAACACATGTAATATTCATTACTAATAGACTGTTATTAACCATGGCTGGTCAGAAAAGTCAAAGCCATCCCCATTATAGTTTGATACTCAATTGCTTAACACTTGGAAAAATAAAAGTGATATAGAAAAACAGTTACTTTGCCCATAAAAGACAGAGACATATCTACTCTGCAGTGATCTTTACAGATTTGTAACATCAGTTTTGACTAAAGTACTCCATGCACTGTGTATGTGTATGGGGGCAGGAAAGCACTTACACAGAAGATTATCATTATGTGCTCCACATGGGGATGCCCTTGAAGTGTCCAAGTTCAATTGATGCAAAAATGCTACCTCCAGATTATCTCCTGGGTCAGCACACGTTACCAGCTGATTAGTTTCCTGCCTAAACAGAAGGCATTGGTTTCTACCTTTATAATTCTAAGCCACATCCCCCCCCCCCCATAACTTTGGTTTGCATGATCACAGCCATGGAAATAACCTATGGTAGTTTATTTCCCCCATTGCTGGGAGAATTTAATTAGTCTTGTAAAGTGGCAAGGGTGGCTGTTGTCATGCCAGAACTGTTGCAGACCATGGATTCTGGTTTTATTAACTACAACTATACTGATAAAGGAAATTATACAAATTTCCCTGGCTTGTGCAGGACAAGGAATGAGGCATCATGGCTTGCTTCCCCATAACTGTGCACACTGGGTTTGCTACCCAAAGAGTTTACTCTAAACTAGTTCTCAAGTCACACTGATCTTGACCTGACTTTGGAACTGCTTACATGTGGGAAGAGAACTGCGGAGATTCAAGCTCCTTGAGCAGGTTATCCTGCCTCCCAAATTCGTTGTGAGGGCCGTTATGAAGGGGAAGGGGTGGCAGCAACATGTGTGTTGCCTAACACTATATAAAGCTTTAGTTATTGGACTGGTGACCAAAGATAAGAATATGCTACTCTCTTTGACCCAGTTCTCAAGACTGGAGTTGTATTTTGAAAAACCCACGGCTTCTCCCTAGGAGCGACAACAGAGGACCTTTGTTTTGGGTAGATAACCAAGGACCCAGCGGTCAAAGGGGCGGCAGTGGTGTGAGTGCTGGACCGGGGGCCTGGGAGATCCGGGCTCCAGTCCTTACCTGGCCATGAAGTAATTTTGGGTCAGCTGTAGGCTTTCAGACTAACCTACCTCTCAGGGTTGTTGTGAAAGAGAGAGAAAGGAGGAAGACTATGCAAGCTTCTCGGGTTGCGTAAAAGAGAAAGGAAGGCGGGTTACTCATGTAGCAAGGTCAGAAACCAGCAGGGAGGCCAGCCGGAGAAAGCCGCGCCTGGGCCACGTCGCCTACCCACCAAGAGACCTCCGCGCTGCCGGGCGGCCTGGGCGATGTAGTCCAGCCTCCGCGTCACGCTGCTCCGCGCCGCGCTGGCCTCCGCTTTCCTGCTTCGCAAGTGCACCGTGACTTTCGCCCGGTCCGGCGGGGCGCTGAGCTCCGCGCTGCCGCTCACATGCACCTCCCTACCGGGCGATAACAGAAAGCCGGGTGTTCCTCCGCCCGCTCCTTCCCCCGCGTCTCTTGGCGGCTCATTCTCCCGGCTGTCCGGCCCAAGAAGCGCAGGCACGGACTCTGCAAACACCCGAGCCGGAGAGAACGGCATCCCGCCGAGCGTGAGAAGGAACGTTGGGCTCCATAGCAACGAGCGGCGCGCCCCCGCCTTTCTCTTCCACGGAATTATGGGCAATGTGGTTTTCCGAGCGAGAGAATCACGTGGGCTGGCTGGCTGGCGGCTTTGGGGCTGGGAGCCTGTGTCCCGTCTTTCGCAGAGCCGGATGTAGCTCGCATTCCCAGTGCCCGACGGTGATGGATGAATCTGGTTGCTGTTTGCGTTTGCTGTAAACGCTGGCTTGCCTTTTGCCTCCAAGGCTGCCATCTTATATCCGTTTTTACCTGGAAGTACTGGGCATAGTGAGCAGTGCTGGCCCCAGGCTTTGGTGGCTCCCCTCTCTTTGTAAATCTGCCTTCTTCCTGCTATTGTAAGCAGCTGCTCTTGGCGGCATAATCGGTCTAATTTTACCTCCACTTGTTCTGTGGGAAGAGAGCAAGTAGGCAGGGCATCCACTGCTCTGCCTGCTTGCTGCCTTCAACTTTTGTCTGGGTCAGAAAAAGAGGCAGGTGGCCAAGCAGGTTGCAGTGGTCAAGAGACTGAGCCAGGGAGATTCTTGTTAGTGGATCCGTAATAGGGGGCTTTTTTCTGAATAAACATGCATTGGGTTATTTAGTAAAGCTCCTGTGCTTTGGATTGCTGAATTCGGTTACCAGTACATGGAAGTTCTGATTAGTCTATTGTTACGGATTATTTAGTAGGGTTTTACAAATGTTTGGCTGAGTTTACTAGTCTGCTAAAAACTAGTTGCCAGGCATTGCAAGTGGAGCATGCTGGCACGGGTGCAGCTGCTGAGCTGAAAGACCCCACATCTTTGCTTTTCCTGAGAGATGGGTCAGAAGTGAGCAGATACGTAGTGGTTCTTTCTGAAGAACAGGGACTTGTTCTGGCTGCCCACAAAAGACACTCCCCAGTAGCTGACCTTGGAGATAGGTGACCTAGATGCTTGCCTAAGGGGGCAAACTGAATGAGGTGCTGACTCCTCTCTGAACTTGGTGACTTGGTGTTAAGTGTACAGTCTGCAGTGAGCTACAGCAGTGTTTGTGAGGTGCTGCTCAGTTAAAACGTTGACTTTCAAATTTCTGAGAACAATTACAGTATCAGTTATTTTGCAGCAGAGTAAAATTTAAACACATTCTGTTTTAACTGCTCGAGTCACAGAGTAGGTTGGAAGTGATTGATACTGAAGTTATGTATACAATCAGAAATAAAGTGCTTTAATGCAGCCAACACTGGACCTCATGACTGAAAACTGATTATGCCTGATTTAGCCATATGTTCATCAACTGGCTAAATTGATGTGATGGCATATCAATATTAGAATTGCTCCCAAGTCAGCTCAGCTTGAGAAAAGGCAGAGTATGATTTACTGAGAGAAAATCTAACATGGGACAAGTTATGTGTGTTTGTATTTCATTTTTAAAAACTTACTGTATGTATATCCCACTTTTCCTTGAAAGAACTCAGACTGATGTACATGATTTTCCTCTCCCCACCCTTTTATTTTCACAACAGCTTTGCTAGCTGAGAGGCAATCATTGGCTCAAAGTCACCCAGGGAGCTTCATGGGTTGAGCAGGAATTTGAAGTTGGGTTTCTGGAGTTCTGGTCTGCCATTTTAATCACTATACCATTTTGGCTAGATCCTGCAAAGGCATCACATCAAGTAATAAAGACAAGTCTAAAAAAGAAAATGGAAGTTTAGGCTAGAATAGAAGGAAGATTTGGCATTCATTGTTAAAGGAAGCAACTTGAAATTCAACTATAAAATAGATCAGAACAACTTCTTATCTTAATATGCTCCTGGATCAGAGTAAAGGAAAACATAGAAACATAGAAACAGAGCGAGTCAGAAGGGGTCTCCCAGGCCATCTAGTCTGACCTCCGGCACCAGCCGGCTCCGCTCACGACATGCCCACCATGTGGATGTCCAGCCTATCCTTGAACACCCACACCAATGGAGCCTCAGCGACCTCCCATGGAAGCCCATTCCACACCCTCGGGGTCCTGACTGTCAGGAAATGCTTCCTGGCATCCAAATGGAACCTTGGCTCCCTGAGCTTTGCTCTGTCGGAGCACGTCCTGCCTTCCTCTGCAGGGGAGAACAGGTCTCTACCCATCTCCATGTGACATCCCCTCACATACCAGTATGTCGCCAACAGATGCCCTCTGAGTCTCCTCCAGGCTGAAGAGACCCAGTTCCCTCAGTCTCGCCTCATGAGGCATCCCCTGCAAACTGCCCTATGCTGCACTGACTCCAACCTGGCTATATCCTTTCTGTAATGAGGGGCCCAAAACTGAGCACAATACTCCAGTTGCGGGCACACCAGATTCGTGTAGAGTGGCAGTAATACCTCTCTCGATCTAGAAGGCACACTTCTGGCTATGCAACCAAGGGTGGCGTTCGCCCTCTTGACCACCGCATCACACTGCTGACTCATGTTTAGCCTGCAGTCAACCAGCACCCCGCGGTCCCTTTCACAAGTGCTGCTCTCCAGCCACTTATCACCTAACCTGTACTTACGACAGCTATTCCTATGCTGGTTACCAAAAAACCAAACTAGACACAATAAATGATCTCCAAACAGTCTGCAAGAAGCTAGAGAAGCTGACATGCAACTGAAGCCCGCGTTGTTGAGTCATGGAATGGCTGCATGTGTTAAGCATCCATATTCTGATGGAAAGTTTGTCAAGAAAACTATTGGGGAAGTGGCTGCAGTTTTAGATCCAGACAATGCAGAACTCACTGAAGCAATAATAAAACAAATTCCAGTGTCGTGGCTTTCTTCAGAGAGTCTTCCCCATCTGCTCCTGCTGCAAATGAAGCAGAATGATCTACAGAGTTGTCTAGCGTTCAGCCTGGCTCCCCAATGAATTCAGCAATAGGCAAGGCAAACCTTAACTTGCAACCTCCCTTTGTTGGGTTTCAGCAGATGCAATGGTGAAAGAAAACATGACACTAAAAGAAGCAACCCATTGTGTTGATATCAAGACCACAGTTCACAAAGCATTGGCAGATGACAGTGCGTCATTGGGTAAGCTTGGATATGCTGTAACAGATGGAGCTCTTGTCATGCTAGAAAGAAAGGCACACACTTGAAAAGAGATTGCAAATTTCCAGCCTTTTTCTATGTTAATTGTATTCTCCATTCTGAATCTCTTGTTGCCAAATACTTCATAGTATGAAAATATTATGAAAATATTTCTGGAAATAGACAATTTTATCCATGACAATAGGATCAGTCATAGTGAATTTTTAAAAACTGTAATTGAAGAGCTGGACCTTGATGACGAATCTAGTGATGCCTTTTTACTGTGTTGTTGGCTAATTATTTATCAGCAATATTTCAAATAGTATTTTTAAAACAAAAGTAATTGTGTTATTCCAAGAGAATAAAAGGTCAATACCTTTTATTAGAACCGACTAAAGTTACTCAAAAATACTTAAAATCTCAAGAATCAGAGTAGTGGTGTAATGGCAGGTAATCTTAGGGAGCAATTACCTCAAAAAGAGATGCTTGCCCTCCAGATGACCTCAAAATGTTTGGAATCTTTTGCTGGGGTTTAATGCACACAGTCAGAGAGAACAAACACTGGTTTTTCATTCACACAAATACAAACAACATTTAGGAAAGTTTATTCAGTGTTAGGAACACTCTTTCCTTTCCTTCGGAAGAGAAAGATATACCAAAGCAGAGAGAGTTCTTTCTTTTAAACTTTATTGCAATAAAGGGAGCCGGCATGGTTTCCTTCCCCTTTTCCAACTCCCCAAGCACACATTTACCTTCCAAACTTAAGCCCTCTCCTCTCCTGTCACTTTGTTCCTCCTCCTTTACCCTCATTGGCTAGGGTACCAGGAGTTTATAATCTTTTTGCCAGCCTACTTCGCGCTGCTCCAATACCAGTCCTTCTCTCCCACTTCGTCCCTCCCTGGTGAATTACAATAGGTCCATTTTGCCCTGCTGGGCATGTCAGTCAACATGCTGGAAGTCATTGAGCAAGCACTCAGCCATTTTGTCTACGTGCCAATTTCCTCACACTCTGTGCTATCCGATCTCAGCCCCCTCCTCCTTTAGGCTAAGGAACTTTCTTTGTTACATTTTTTACTCTTCCTGTTTCCTTGTTTCAAATCATCCTTTCATCCCTATCATTCAGCAGAAAGTATAGAGCAGATAGATGCTTTTAACCCAATTTTGTCTAGACAGCAAATATTCTTGCTGCATCCCAATCTTACTCTGTATTTCTGAAGAGACGAAGAACTTCCTGCTGATACAGAGAGAGGCTAATGGGGTGGGGGGGAGTCCATTACCTTCCCTGCAGGTTAGATTACATTTGCAAGAGCAGTGTGCAAGAAGGATGCAAGCATCCACACGCGGAGAGGCAGGTCTGTGTACAGAGCTGACCTCCTCCTACTGTGTTCAAAGCAGGTCTGCCTCCCTTTATGTCTGCTCTTTAGACTATACTCTCTCCATCTCTCTGTATGTGTGTCTATGGGAAAGATGAGTTTCTCAGACGTGTGCTAATTGCTTCCTGATGGCCTTAACTGTTGTTTCTCTGACCAAGAGGTGAGTTCTTTGTGTTTGCTAGGTGCTGTGGATGAGGCAGTTTCCAGGTGTCCCAGGACAATAGGTCATCCTCTTTGCAGGATTGTTTTGCCTAATCCCTTTCAGGGAAAAATGTCTGACCTTTTCCCTGCAAGGATTCCAGTGTTCATTGTTACTTCGCATTGGCTAGCCCAGCATACTAGGTCCTCCTTCCTGAATTCAACATGGCCCGTGACCTGAAAGCCAATTCAGGCCTGGGAGAGCTTGGCCATGAACCTCACAGGATAATTTTGGACCAGTCACTGACTTTCAAGGTAACCTACCTTACAGAACAATAGTGAGGATAAAATGGAGAGGAATCCCATGGACTCCTTGGAGGAAAGACAGGCCATAAATGTAGCACATATACAAATAATAAATTTGTTAAAAATGATCTGAATTGGGCTCCATGTGTCATTGGTAGGGAGGGAAAGGCAAATGTGTTAGGCAGGCAGAGAGCATCTCATGGGCTACTCTCATAAGCAGTGTGAAGTTGGAGAAGGGCTGCATCAAGCAAAGCTTGCAGCCTGGGTGTCCAGCCATCGGCACTGGCTCCATGGCCTGGGGACCCCGGGAGCCAGGCCGTGTGAAGAGCTGGGTTTCCCTCCTTTTGCACATTCCAAGCCAGAGACCATTCCTTTGCAAACCAAAGTATATCCACCACAACAAAAGGAATCTCTGGGCA